GGCTGCAGAGTTCTGGATGAACTGCAGCCTACGGAGAAGGACCTGGGGAGGCCAACAAGCAAGGAGTTTGCATAGTCAAGCCTGGATGTTATGAATGCTTGTATGAGGGTTTCGGTGGCCTGCGGTGTGAGACAGTGGCGGAGCCGGGCGATGTTGTGGAGGTGGGGTAATGTCAGAGCGGGTCATGGCATGGATGTGGTGTAGAAAGGATAGTTGAGGGTCAAACAAGATGCCAAGGTTCCGGACTGGTTTAGTAAGTTGCAGTGCACAACCTTGGACAGGAGTGGAGGACAACTGAAGAATTATAGAATCCTAGAATTATACAGCACAGAAGGAGGCCAATCGGCCCATCGTGTCTGTGTCTGCTCTTTGAAAAGAGTTATCCAATTCAATCCCACTCCCCCACTCTCTCCTCATAGCCATGCAAAACTTGTTCTCCCCAAATAATTATCTACTTCTCTCTTAAAAGCTGTTATCGAATCGGCTTCCACCACCCTTTCAGGCAATGTATTCCAGATCTGAACAAATTGGTGTGTAAAAAAATTTCTCCTCACCGCCCCTCTGTTTCGTTTAACAACTATTCTAAATCGGTGCCCTTGGGTTACCGACCCACCCGCCAGTGGAAATAGTTTCTCCTTGTTCACCCTATCGAATCCCCTCATAATTTTGAAAACTTCTATTCAGTCTCCTCTTAACCTTCTCTGTTCCAAGGAGAATAATCCCAGCTTCTCTCGCCTCTCCTGATAACTGAAGTCCTTCATTCCTGATACCATCCTGGAAAATCTCCTTTGAACCCTCTCCAATGCCTCGACATCCTTCCTAAAGTGTGGGGCCCAGAACTGAACACTTACTCTCGCTGAGGCCCAACCAGTGTTTTATAAAGGTTTGTTATAACTTCCTGACTTTTGTATTCTCTGCCCCTATTTATAAAGCCTAGTGTCCCGTATGCTTTTTTAACAGCTTTATCTCCCTGTCCTGCCACCTTCAAAGATTTACTGATATGAACCCCCAGGTCTCTCTGTTTCTTCGCCCCCTTTAAGATTGTACCATCCTCTTATATTGCCTCTCCTCATTCTTCCTCCCAAAATACCATCACTTCACATTTCTCCACATTAAACTTCATCTGCCACGTGTTTGCCCATCTTACCAGTCTGTCTATGTCCATTTGCAGTCTGCTACTATCCTCCTCACTGTTTACTACTTCTCCTAGCTTAGTATCATCTGCAAACTTGGAAATTGTACTCCCTATACCCAAGTCTAGGTCATTTATATAGATCGAAAACAGCAGTGGTCCCAATACCGACCCCTGGGAGTCACATTTGCACACTTCCCTCCAGTCAGAAAAACAACTGTTCACAAATACTCTCTGCTTTCTGTCTCCCAGCCAGTTCTGTATCTATGCTGCCACTGTCCCTTTAATACCGTGGGCTTCTATTTTGCTTACAAGTCTCTTATGTGGCACTTTATCAAACGCCTTTTGAAAATCCATATAAACTACACCAAGTGCACTACCTTCATCCACCCTCTCCGTTACTTATTCACACAGAGGATACAGTTCAAGATCCAGGATCTCAGCTTCAAAGCCCTCCACAGTCTTGCTCCCCCCTATCTCTGCAACCTCCTAACCCCCCACCACCGTGCCCGCTTCCTCTGCTCAGCGGGCTCCGGCCTGCTTCATATCCTTCACCTCGCTCGCACCACTATTGACGGGCAGGCCTTCTGCCACTCTGCCCCCACCCTCTGTAACTCCATCCTGCAGTCCCTCCGCCTCACCCCCTCCCTTGCCTACTTCAAGACCCATCTCAGGACCCTCCTCTTCGACCACCCTGTTTCTCCCCCTGCCTTCTAACCTCCCCAATCCCGACCCCCAGCTCGGGTCTGAAACTCTGTTTGTCCAGCGTCTTGGGACGTCCTCCCAACGTGAAAAGCGCTATACAAATGTAATTTTGTTGTTTTTGATCAAAAATCTCTTATCAAGTTTGTGAGACAGGATTTGCCTTTAACAAACCTGTGTTGGCTGTCCTTTATTAACCCATATTTTTCTAGGTGAAAATTTATTTTGTCCCGTTTTATAGTCTCTAGAAGTTTCTCTACTACTGACATTAGGCTGACTGGCCTGTAGTTCCTGGGTTTATCCTTCAGCCACTTTTTGTACAGGGGAGTAACATTTGCAACCCTCCAGTCCTCTGGCACCACCCCGGTGTCCAAGGAGGATTGTAATTGTGGCAGAGACTCTGTTATTTCCACCCTTACTTCCCTCAGTAACCTAGGATGCATCCTGTCCGGACAGGGTGACTTATCTACCTTGAACACCAACAACCTTTTTAGTACCTCCTCTGTTTATTCTTATCTTATCCAATTTCTCTACCCTCTCCTCCAATTGGCTGCATCCTCTTCTTTTGTGAAGACAGATGCAAAGTACTCATTCAGTACGTCAGCCATGCCCTCTGCCTCCACAAGAAGATTTCCTCTTTGGTCCCACCCTACCTTTGACTTAACATTTATTCTTTATATGCTTATAAAATACCTTAGGGTTCCCTTTTGTTACCTGCTAATCTTTTCTCATACAATATCTTTGCCCCTCCTATTTCCTTTTTCAGTTCTCCTCTGTACTTTCTATATTCTATTTGATTATCTTCTGTATTTTGGACCTGACATTTATCATAAACCTCCTTTTTCTGTTTTATTTTATTCCCAATTTCCTTTTTCATCCAGGGAGGTTTGGATGCTCTACTTTTTCCTTTTGTGGGAATGTATTTGTTCTGTCCCCGAACTATTTTCTTCTTGAAGGCTTCCCATCGCTTGTTAGCTGTTTTACCTGCCAATCTTTCTTTCCAGTGCACCATGGCTCGGTCCCTTTTTAACTCACTGAAATTTGCCCACTTCCAGTTGAGTATCTTCACCTTTGATTGTTCCTTGTCCCTTTCCATAAGTACTCTAAATCTAATGAGTTGTGATCACTGTTGTCCAGATGCTCTCCTACTGGAACCTGTTCCACTTGCCCCACTTCATTCCCCAGAACTAGATCCAGCACTGCTTCCTTCCTGATTGGGTTGAAAACATACTGATCCAGAAAGTTATCCTGCACACTTTCAGGAATCCTTCCCCTTCCTTGCCCTTTACACTATTATTTTGCCAGTCTATGTTAGGATAATTGAAGTCCTCCATTATTACTACTCTATTGGTTTTGCATCTTTCTGAAATCTGCTTGCAGATTTGCTCGTTTATCACCTTCCCACTATTTGGTGGTCTGAAGTATACACCTAACAGAGTAACAGTTCCTTTTCTGCTCCTTAACTCTAACCAAATAGATTCTGTTTGGGGCCCTCTACCACATCGTCCCTTTCCAGGGCCGTAACTGTGTCTTTAATCAATATTGCCACCACCCCTTCCTTTTTTTCCTTCCCGATCCCTCCTGAATACATTAGTCAGGATTATTCAGCTCCCATTCCTGCCCTTGTTTGAGCCAGGTCTCCGTTATTGCCACTGCATCATAACCCCCTTTGGCAACTTGAGTTTGCAGCTCACCAATCTTATTGGTCATACTCAGTGCATTTACGCACATGCACTCCAAGACCGACTTAGTCTGTTTTTCATTTCTCCCCCGTCTAATCCCTCCTTTTTCTGGATTACTCCTTATTACATTGCTATTTATCACTCCCAGCCCTCTATGTAACTTGTTTGTCCTCTCTAATACTACATCCCGATTCCCTTCCACCCTCGAAATTAGTTTAAACCCTTCCCCACAACACTAGATAACCTCCCTGCGAGGACATTAGTCCCAGCCTTGTCAGTGTAACCCATCCCCCTTGTACAGGTCCCAAGCGCCCCAGAACTGAAGCCCTCCTTTCTGCACCATTTCTCCAGCCATGCATTCATGTGTTTGATCCTGCTGTTTTGATACTCACTTGCACTAGGCACTGGGAGTAATCCAGAGATCACCCCCTTTGAGGTCCTACTCTTTAGCTTTTTCCCAAGCTTCTGATACTCTCCCTGTAGGATCTCAGCCCTTTTTTCCTTAAGTCATGGATCCCAACATGGACCACGACTTCTGGATGTTCCCCTTCCCCCTGTAGAACGCCTTGCACCCATTCCATGATATCTTCAACCCTGGCACCAGGAAGGCAACATTCCATGCGAGAGTCATATCTTTAATAATAATAATAATCCTTTGGTTGCAGAAACACCTGTCTACTCCTTTCACCATTGTGTCCCGAATAACAATTGCTCTGTCAAGAAAGTTAGCTTTCATCCAAGACTTGAGGTCTGACAAACATTCCTTCAGGACAGCAGTGGTCTTGGGAGTCATGGGTGGAGCAGAGAGATAGAGTTGGGTGTCATCCGCATACATGAAGTTGACCCCATGTCTGCGGATGATGTCACCAAGAGGGCGCATATAGATATTGAAGAGGAGGGGACCAAGGACAGATCACCGAGGAACGCCGCAAGAGAGTGTGCGGGGGCTAGAGGAGAAACCATTTGTGCAGATGAAGTGGAGATGTTGTGAGAGGTAAGATCTGAACCATTCAAGGACAGAAGCATGAAGGTTGAGGTGAGAGGAGAGGCAGTGGAGGCGGATAGAGTGGTCTCCCCACTCTCGTGAAAGCTCTCCCCAAAGACGCAAACTGCTAACATAATAATAATAATAATAATAATAATCCTTGCATTTGATATAGCGCTTTTCACGTCGGGAGGACGTCCCAAAGCGCTTCACAGAATATACTGTAAAGTGAATTGACTGTATATTTGTGGGCGAACGCGGCTGCCAATTGCGCACAGCAATGTCCCACAAACAGTCGTAGATTGAAAATGACCAATTTATTATTGTTTGGGGTTTTGGAGGGATTATTATTAGGCGTGTGGAGTAAGGAAACTTGCCCAAGGTTTCGCCCTGCCTGGAACATAATTCCAAAGGTATTAGAAAGCGGACTAGATGGACCTTGGTATTTTATCGTCTAGCAATTCCTACGTTCCTATGGACGAGGAAACTGGTAACTAACCTGTATCTTGATGGGCCAGGTGAAGTTGCTGACATACACGAAGAATGTGATGTTCGGGTTGTTGCGGAAGTCAAACTTCTCGTTGGAGAAGCTGTCCTTATATTCTTTGATGTTGTTCTTCGAAATAATCGGAATCTCTTCTCCCGCCTGTGTGCCGGCTGTTTTCAGCACAGGAAACAATAACCAAAAATCCAATTAACTCACTGACAAAGCCCTTGTGAAGCTCAAAAGCCAGACCAGTTCTCAGCAACAACCAAAATAGCTGTTTATGGGACGTTGCTGTTTGTGCGCAAATTGTCTGCCATGTTCGCCCACAACAAACACAGTCACTTCATTTTCAGTGTATCCTGGGAAGCGCTTTGAGACATCCACCCAACTTGAAAGGCGCTGTGTCAAATGAAAGGATTATAGTAATATAGGAATACATAGGAGCATAAGAACAGGAGGAGGCCGTTCAACAACAACAAGATTCCATTTATAGAGCGCCTTTCACGTTGGGAGGACGTCCCAAGGCGCTGTACAGTTGGGTCAGGACCCGAGCAGGGGGGAAATGGTCAGGGTGAGGGGAGGGAAAGGAGGGAGCGAGGAGGGGGTAGAAAGTCGAGAGGAGAGCTGAAGGCACGGTCAAAGAGAAAGGTCTTGAGACAGGCCTTGAAGGAGGAAAGGGAGGAGGCGGCGAAGGCACTGGGGGATGGAGTTCCAGAGCCTGGGGGCTGAGAGGCTGAAGGCCCGGCCACCGATGGTAGGGTGGTCGGGGCGGGGGACATGGAGCAGACCGGAGCCAGAGGAACGGAGGGTATGGGCAGTTAGGTAGGGGGATAGTAGGTCGGAGAGGTAGGAGGGAGCGAGGCCGTGAATGGCCTTGTAGATGAGGATGAGTATCTTGAATTTGATCCTCTGGGGGATGGGGAGCCAGTGGAGGCGAGCGAGGGTGGGAGTGATGTGGTCCTGGTGCGGTACAGTACACGAGCTGCAGAATTCTGAATGACCTGCAGCTTGTGGAGGGAGGTGCCGGGAAGGCCGGCGAGGAGAGAGTTCCCATAGTCCAGCCTTGAAGTGATAAAGGCATGGACCAGAGTTTCAGCAGCGTGAGGGGTGAGGTAGTGCCGTAGTCTGGCGATGTTCTGGAGGTGATGGAAGGCAGTGCCAATTGTGGCGCGGATATGAGGGAGAAAGGACAGCTCAGGGTCGAACAGAACACTGAGATTCCTGACCGGCTTTGAGAGGTGGAGAGTGCAGCCTTGGATGCTGATGGTGTCAGCGCCTGAGGTGCGGAGGCGCTGACGTGAGCCAATCAGGAGGGCCTCGGTTTTGTGCACGTTGAGCTGAAGAAAGTTGTCTCTCGTCCAGGACTCGATGTCGGACAGGCAGACTGTCAGGACATCGGGGGTCGTGGAGTTGAGGGTAGAGGAGGAAAGGTAGAGTTGGGTGTCATCCGCATACATGTGGAAGTTAACCCCATGTCTGCGGATAATGTCACCAAGGGGGAGCATATAGAGGGTGAAGAGGAGGGGACAGAGGACAGAGCCCTGAGGGACACCGCACGAGACAGTGCGGGGGCTGGAGGAAAAGCCGTTCGTGGAAACAAAATGAAGACGGTGGGAGAGGAACGACCTAAACCACTCAAGGATTTTGAGGAGGTCCGGCCAGATTTGTCGGTGGACCGTTAGGCCAGGTTTGACGCAGGTGCGTTCAGCGGCCTGCACCTGGCTCTTCAGTGAGCGGAGGTGGGTGGTGAACCAGGGGGAGGAGCGAGAGTAGGAGACAGTACGGGAGGTGATGGGGGCAAGAGTATCGAGTGTGGAGGAGAGGGTGTTGTGGAGGAGGGTGAGAGCAGAAGAGGGGTCAGTGAGGGTTGATGGCCAGAGGGAGAGGAGTTCAGAGGACTCCAAGGCAGCGATTAGGGATTGTGGGGGTAACTTCTTCCAGCGACGGTAGAAGATGGTGGTGGGTCTGGTGGAGGTGGGGAGGGAATTGGAGGTGGTGAAGGAGATAAAGTGAGGATCGGAGACGGCCTTGTCGGTAATGGTGACATCCGAGACACTGAGGCCCCGGGTGATCACCAAATCGAGTGGGTGGCTGTGACTGTGAGTGGCGGAGTTGATGTGGAGGGAGAGATTGAGCGACGAGAGCAGGGAGGAGAAGTCCGAGGAGATGGAGCAGGAGGGTGAAGTGCAGGTTGAAGTCGCCCAGGATGATGAGGCGATCAGAGCAGAGGCAGAAAGATGTAAGTAGGGTGGAAATATCGGAGATGAAGGTGGGAGAGGTTTTAGGGGGCTGGTAGAGGAGGAGGATTTTGAGTGAGAGGAAGGAGGGGTGGGAGAGGGTGAGGTGCTCAAAAGAGGGAAAAGAGCCAGAGGAGTAGGGGGATAGGGCAAGTGGTGTCCCTGAGATAAGGGCTTATTTTTGGTCAACTGGGTTTCTTACAATTCGGAAACCCATCTCCATGCTTAAACTGGGAGTTCCATGCCACCTACACATGGAAATTTCTGTTCATTGGAAAGGAATGCACACTCTCTCCCTGGAGGGACGTCCTGCTTACCTAATCTCAGAGAGTATAGATGCAGCCTGGTGAGAACCAAGGACCCGAGAGTGTGCAATGGGAGTAATTACTGGAGTTTCAATGGCAAGATCTTGCCAGTTTTAACTTTTAACTGCTGCATATAAATGGAAACTATCAAATTCACTGTATATCTCTTCAGAAGCAAAAAGCACACTGCGTAAGTCTTACCTAAGAAGCTCGTGGACCAGGTGATGTTGAGGTTAAAGTTTTTCGATGCGTTAATAAACATGTCCAAGTCTCTATTTTGCTGAAATAAAGAAAGTTCATATATTTACCAGTGGCCTGAGATTCCAGGGAACAAACAGTTGACTGGCAAAGGGATGGTAAGAAGGAGGGGAATGGAGGAAGGGAGGGAGCAAAGTGAAGGGACTTTTCCACAAGTTTGCAGAGCACAATATGGCATTTGCATTTCCTGAGACAGGAATTTTCTGATAGAAATCTATTCCAGGAAGATCGCAGATAATTGCTCAGATTGTGATTAAATGCTGGGGAACTCCAACTCAGAGCAGCTCACTTCCCAAATACAATGGCGTGAATTCTCTAGTGAGTAAACTCTGATCAAGCGCAACTTTATAGGAGCAAAATAGTGGTGGGTAGGAGGGGAAATAATAATAATCCTTGCATTTGATATAGCGCCTTATCATGTCATTGAGCCGTCTCAAAGCGCTTCACAGAATATACTATAAAGTATAATGTGTGAGTGAAATGTGGCAGCCAATTGCGTAAAGAAGTGTACCACATAATTTGGGGATTTAGTGACCAAATTCTTATAAATAAAATACAACTAACATTGGAAGGAGCTGCCAATGTGATGACAGATTAAAGTTGGCACTCAAACTCAGACTTTGGGGGGGTAAAAAAGGGGTTAAGGAGGGGGAAAGGTGGCCAAAAACAGGGTCAAAGAAAAAGGTGTGAGAAAAGGGACTCCGGAGTGGAGTTCCAGAGAGCAGGAGCAGACAGGCTGAAAGTTTGTCTGCTGATGGTGGAGTGGGGGGGGAATTAAGATAGCAGGTGCATGCTGAGTGGAGGAAGCTGGGGTAGTAGTTCGAGGAGGTCACAGAGGTAGGTTGGGGCAAGACCACGAAGGGATTTAACGATTAGGACGAGGACTTTGACATTGTCCACTGAGGGATGGGGATCCAATGGGGGGCCGGGTGAAGATGGGCTGATAGGCTTGCAGAGTCTTATGTGGTAAAGGACAAAAGGCACAGAGCTCTGGATGATCTGCAGACCCAGAATTTGGAAGAGTGTTGAAAAGAGGGGGAAGGGGAAATGTCTTTACAGAGGACTGTTAGACTGTGTATTTCCTGATGACAAACTGCTAATGAGATGGAGACCATGAATTTATTTTAAGAGACCCAGATTGATGCTTAAATGAATATGAAATGATGCGGGGGAGTGAGCGGGAGAGCAAGATTAGACTAGGTAGCTCATGTTGGGGAGAAACATCCTCATGGATTTGATTGGCCAAATCAGTGGATTCTGTGATGTTCTGTGAGACTGTGAACTCTTCCCAATTGAGCTATTAATGCTATTATGATCTAATTAACTACTAACAGTTTACATTTATATAGTGCCCTTGTAAAACGGTGCATTTTACAGAGACATAGGAACAGGAGGAGGCCATTCAGCCCCTCAAGCCTGTTCCACCATTCTATTTGATCATGGCTGATCTGTACCTCAACTCCAATTACCTGCCCTTGCCCCATATCCATTGATATCTTGACTTACCAAAAACTATCCACCTCAGGCTTTAAAATTTGAATGGATTAGCATTCACAGTCTTTTGGGGTAACAGAGTTCCAAATTCCAGATCCAGATGGATGGGGGTTGGACTCCAAGCAAGGGGGAGGTGGTCGTAGGAATGAACAAAGAGGTAGGATTTGACGTGGAGCTTCAAGACAGATAGAGGGGGGGCGAGACAGAGTTGGATAGATATAGGGAATAAAGGGAGGAAGTTTCAGAGGTTTGGGAGTGTAGAAACTAAAAACTGCCACACTCCAGTCACATGCAATACTCACTTCCTCAGGGGTGGCTACAAAGTTGATGGCTGTATAGTAACGATCATCCTCCTGAGAGAAGCTGAAGGTGAACTGGTAGTCAATCAGCAGGGAATCTGCCAGGGGGAAGAAACCAAACATCTCAAGTGGAACTCAGTCTACAGTGACCAACAACAAACCTCCCGTCCAATACAATAACAATAAATTACATTTGTAAAGCGCCTTTTACATTGGGAGGACATCCCAGGTGCTGGACAGCCAGGAATTTACACCCGAGCTGGGGGTTGGCATCAGGAGGGTGAAGAGTAGGGAGGGTAGAGGTAGAAGGATGACTGAAGGCGTGGTCGAAGAGGAGGATCTTGAGAAGTGCCTTGAAGGAGGCAAGGGAGGGAGCAAAGTGAAGGGACTGTGGAATGGAGTTCCAAAAGGTGGAGTAAAGAGATTGAAGGTCCGACCGCCAATGGTGGGGAAGGCCAGGTGCGGGACATGGAGCAGGCTGGATTTTACAATACATTGCATTCCAACATTTCATGAAACATTTTAGTTCTTAGTGAACTGATGGAAGTTTCATCAGCAAACAAGCTCCAATTTAAGATTATTTTGTTTTGGCTCTCATTTTTGCTGACTGTACATGGAGCGCAATGTTGGCTTCCTGTGTTAAACATCCAGTCAGAACAAAACCACTGGTCCATCAAGCAGGCTCATCCAGAGTCCTAAAGACTTCCTTCACCACATACATAAATTTTACATTTATACAGCATCTAAGAGCGCCTACAACTAAAGTAAACCACTTTTCAGTGTCCCAGACTGCACTCCTATACTTACAGTAGCAGGTGCCTTTCAGGGGGTTGCCCTGGTATCGAGTCTCAACGTCACATCTGCAAAGCAACGTTTCTCAATTTAGTTTCTCACAGAAACACAAATCTCTTACGGGTGAAATTTAAGCACAGTTCATTTCTTACTCTTCAGTAACTGATGCCATAGTCACCCAATCTCTGCCTCTTTCTCACCCCCACCACACCCCCACACACACACACACACACATGCGCCTTCTCATACAAATTTCCCCCCCATGTCTGCAATGCAATTGTGCAACCTGTTCACCTAATTCTACGTGCTCAAGGCACTGAGTTATCAGCCTGAATATCTCTCTCAACAACTTGCATTTATATATATCGCCATTCGTATGAAGCAGCATCTCAAAGCACTTAACAGTGGCCTGATGCTGAGCCGGGGGTGAGGGAGGAGGTGACTTAAGCACGGTTGAAGAGGAAGGTCTTCAATAGTGATTTAAAAGAGGGGAAGGAGGGAACAAGGCCCTTGAAAGGATAGGGGGAAAGAATTTCAAAGTTTCAAAGCTTCGGGGTGTAGTGGCTGAAAGCATGGCCACCAATGATGGAGCGGAGGGGACGAGGGACAAGCAGGAGGCCAGAGTTAGGCAGCGAGGCAGTGGGGCAGGAAAGCAGGTCAGAAAGGTCGTGAGGTGCCAGGGTGTGAAGGGATTTATAGACAAGTGAGAGGATCCCATGGAGATCACACTCATAGTCTCTTTCTCAGAGGCATCGCTCTCCCGCTCTCTCTCTCATTGGAAAGCAGATTAAAGGGAAACTTGGGCTTTCCTGATGGCCTGGGGATGTTCATAAGAATTTTCTCTCCAGAATAAATGATTCTCTTGCCCTCAGATCAAGTGCACAATTAATCTGTGTTTCTGATTTATTCTGTTCTGACCTCTGGTGCAACACACCAATGCAGAACAGAACTTGAGCATTAAAGTGATTCGGCTTACAACTGCAACCAAACAGAAGCTCCCAAATGTTTATGCTGAGACACTCAACAAAAGGAAGATCCAAGTTTATTTGTTTCGTTGCAATGCAGACGGCAGCAGAAAAGTTCTTGCAATGATCACATGATGTGGGACTTAAAGGATGCGGGATGGTGTAGTGCCAGATGCAGAACGTTGCTCTACATTTCCTATTGTTTTGCTGTTGTACTTTTCGAAAGGGGAAGAGAATTTCTCCCGATATCCTGACCAGAAACACTCTCTCCTCCCCAACTATTTGACTGTTTGAGAGCCATTGCTATGCGCAAATCAGCTGTCACGATCGCCTACAAAATAGTCACTACATTTTATATTCACCCGTTCAGCCTACCCCATCTCTGCAACATTGTCCGCCTCCGCCACTACCTCTCCCCTCAAGCCACCGAGACCCTCATCCACTTCCAGGGTTGACTTTGCTAACTCCCTGCTCATCAGACTTTCCAACTCTTCCTACACAAGCTGCAGATTATTCAGAACTCTGCAACTAGTGTACTCTCCCACTCCAAGCTCTGCGAATCTATCTATCACTCATCATCCTCGCCGGCTCCACTGCTTCCCCATCGTCCAGAGGATTGAGTTTAAGTTACTCGTCCCTATTTTTAAGCACTCCACAGTCTTGGCCCACGCTACCTCTGGGACCTGCTAAAACCTTACCTACCTGTCCACTCCCCTCCGCTTGGCAGGCACTGACCGGTTCCATGTCCCCCGCTCTGTCCACCCCATTATCAGCGGTAGGGTCTTCAACCTTCCTGCCCCACCCTCCAGAGCCCCTATCTTGCCTCCTTCAGCACCTCCGGATGTCCTCCCAATATGAAAAGTGCTGCACAAATGCAATTTGTTGTTGTTGTTGTTAACCTCTACCCTGCAAACCACTGGCTGTAGACACAGGTGTGGACATGGAGTGAGGGCAGGATCAGGCTCGTCTTTACTGCCTCCCCCTCCTCTACCTTCCCTGATCTATTGCTCTGGATCAGGAGCTAATCTGACGTGGATATTGCATGCAGACTATGACAATAATAATCCTTACATGTGATATAGTGCCTTCTCAAGTCGTTGATACATCTCAAACCGCTTCACAGAATATACTGTAAAGTGAATTGACGGTATATTTTGTGTGCAAAATGCACTTCATTCTGCACAGGAAGAATACTCCTCGTCAAAATATATTACATGAATGAAATGAATTTACAATAACAATAATACATGCATTTTATAGCACCTTATGTCAAGACATCATAAAGCATTTCACAGAGAATTGCTGTGAAGTTTAGTGACTGTGTATAAAAATCCTTACATTTAATAGAGCCTAATGTCATCAAGATATCTCAAAGTGCTATGCAGGTTTTACTGTAACATGGTATGACTGTGTATTTTTTGAACGCGACAGCCAGCAAGGTCCCACAAACAGCCATGGTTAAGAGAGAACAATGTTGAGGGATATGGGGAAAAAAACAGGATGTGGAATTAGGGATAGATCTAGGATGGACATTAACACCAACTGAACCTTGTATAAAAACCCAAAGATGTGGATGGTATATTATGGTCTGATATTTTTTTCTGGGATTTCTGCGACACAACATTGGTATAAAAAGGAACAAAGTATTTCAGATGAGATATTTAACAGACTGAATGTTCGGGAGTGGTGGCGGTGTGGGGGGGTAAGATAGAGGTGGGGGAGAGTGTGGGGGGTAAGAGGTTAGGCAAGGAATGGGATTATGATAAATCCAATTGAATCTTGGTGACCCAGAGGAATTTCAATGAGCATGTGGAACTCTCAGTCTGGTTTGTTTACTCTTAAGCAAGGCAATGAGATTCTGCATGTTAGACACCTGGCTATTAAAATTTAAAAAAAACTTTGGTGGAGAGAAATGAAGAGATCCCTTTTATTGCCTCTTCTAAAATTAGTTCTAAACTTTTGAAAGCACTTGATAATACTAATGTCCCTTGCGGTTGATTAAAAAACACCTTATCACATCATTGAGATGCCTCAAAGCATTTCACAGAATATATTGTAAAGTGGGATTGGCATGAATTGTAAAGATTTAAAAATACCTTTAATCCATGTGGAAAACCTTGTATATTTCAGCACAGCGAGAGGCATGTGATGCAAAATATCTTTCTTTAAACATATAAAATGCTAAATATTTAAGTCGAACATGAGAACATAAGAACCTAAGAAATAGGAGCAGGAGTAGGCCGTTCGGCCCCTCGAGCCTGCCCCACCATTTAATAAGATCATGGCTGATCTTCTAACTTAATTCCATTTACCTGCCTTATCCCCATATCCCTTAATCCCTTTAGTTTTCAAAGATCTATTGATCTCAGTCTTGAATATGTTCAATAACTGAGAATCCACAGCCTTCTGGGGTAGAGAATTCCATAAATTCACTACTCTCTGAGTGAAGAAATGTTTCCTCAACTCAGTTCTAAAACGCTGTCCTTTTAGATTCTCCAACCAGGGGAAACAATCTCACAATATCTACCCTGTCAAGAACTTAAGAATCTTATAGGTTTCTATAAGATCATCTCTAAATCTTTTATATTCCAGAGAATATAGGCCTAGTTTACTCAACCTCCCCTCGTAGGTCAACCCTCTCATCCCAGAAACCAATCTAGTGAACGTACGTTGCACCCCCTCTAAGGCAAGTATATCCTTTCTTAGATAAGGAGACCAAAACTGCACACAATATTCTAGGTGCGGTCTCACCAAGGCCCTATACAATTGTAGAAAGACTTCTCTATTCTTGTACTCTAACCTCTTTGCAATAAATGCTAACATGCTATTAGCCTTTCTAATTGCTAGCTGTACCTGTATATTAACTTTTTGAATGCGTTAGGATGTTCATTAATCGAAAATGCTGGTGGCAAAGCAGAAATGAAATATACAGTAACATTTTTCTGCAGATATAATCCTCCACAATATCACTAAAAACCCGGGGTTCAACTTACAGCTGACACTTGTCCCCTTTAATTCCTTTGGTGGTACAGAAACACTTTCCCGTCTGGTCGTTACAGATGGACGCATGTCCGTTGCACTTGCAGGCTGCAGGAAAGGACCCAAATCATTGAATATCCAAATAATAATCCTCGCATTTGATATAGCGCCTTATCACGTAGTTGAAACAACTCAAAGCGCTTCACAGAATATATCGTAAAGTGGACGAGAGTTTTGTCTGCGTTGGATGTGAACACTTCATTTGAAGGTGTAGAATTAAATGGGAAACATTAAAATCATTCAAACAAGATATCTTCAGCCCTAACCTTAACACCAAGGATACAGGAAGTGCTGGATATGTATTGAACAGAGTGCAGAGTTAATTAACAAGGATGGTTTCGGGCCAGGGGACTTCAGATGAATTCCCTGAACCTGGGGAAGTTAAAGGGAGATTTGAGGGTCAAATGCAGGAAAAGGGGAAATTATGTCATGACCTAGACTTCTGCCATTTTTCTATTAGCACAGGAACCAATCCTATCTGATAAGTAAGGATATTGAGGGCTCATGGTGAGATGGTGGTAAAATATAATTAAAGAGGTGTCATTGACTTAATGGTGGAGCACCCACAATGGGCAGAAAGGCCATCTCCTGTTCCTTTGAAAGCTTTTACCGAAAGAGAGCTTGTGCCATGACGGCACCTACCTTGGCAGGTTCCTCCGTTGGTAGGGTCTCCATAGTAGCCAGCCACACAGGTTTCACAGCGAGTCCCCATGGTCAGGTCTTCGCAATTCTCACAGATGCTTTCATTGATACAGTGGCTGTGACCATTGCACTGACAAGCTGGAAGACAAGAAAGTACTCCTAATGATAATCCTTCCATTTGATACAGCGCCTTTCACAGGACCTCTCAAAGCAGGATATACTGTATTCAGGAGTGACTATGTTTTGTGAACGAATGTGGCAGCAATTGACGCAAAACAATGTCCTAGAAACAGCCTTGAAGTGGACAACCAATTTTTATAGCTCCTTATGCCAAAATATCTCAAGGCACTTCAAAGGTCATTTCTGTCCAGTACAGCAGCTGTTTTTAAAGCAAAATAAAAAAGTAAAGTAATTCCAGGGTCTAACATTCCCCTAAAACTTGTGTGCAAGTGTGATGAGTGGACAGATTCCGAGTCCATCCCTTGGGTTTGACTGCTTTAAGAAAAACGTGCTGGCTGAGGGCAAGAGCTGCTCATAATGATGATGACGGGGGTGGGGGGGGCTCAACTGCTAAGGTTGTATTTAAAGGTGGTACGTCCCCAGTCTGGGATGAGACACAGAGAATCTCAACATCCCGCAAGCAAGCGAAGAGGATTTGTGGGGTTTGCACTTTTTTTGTGTGAATAAAATGTTGATATTAATTTCAATGCGGTGATGGAGACTGGTTTGTTCGGTACCACAAGAACCGCGCTCACACCAAGTCATTATGTTACCGCAATTTTAACCTTCTACTGATTACAACAATATTGTGGAACCAGTTCATAATTCTACAGGGGTCAGTCTTCCATCTTCATCTCGCCCATGATTTCACAAGCATTGGTCTGGGTTAAACACGGACCAGATAAAGGGGGTACGGAGGGGAAGAAAGATAACGAGAAAGTATTTCCATAATACTAATAAAATTGCACTTTACAGTATATCCTGTGAAGTGCTTTGATAATGAAGTGCTCAACGATGTGATAATGACAATAATAATCCTTGCATTTGATATAGCTCCTTATCAAGTCATTGAGATGTCTCAAAATGCTTGTAAAGTGAATTGATTGTATATTTTGTGGGCGAAACGTGGCAGCCAATTGCACACAGCAGTGTCCCACAAACAGTCGTGGATTGAGGGACCTTTTTTTTAAGCGATTATTACCCCCGGAAAGCGATCTGCGCTAATCAACTAACAACCAGGTTCCTACTTCCTGCAAAGTAAACAGAGGCGTTGGGAGTAAGGAAACTTGCCTAAGGTTTTGCCCAGGAATCAAATCCCAGTCCTCTCTTTTGCTAAGAGAGTGCTCTAAACACTACAGTACAGGACTCCTGTTTCCCCTTCAAAAAGGGACTAAAATATTAAGTCTCTCACGTCAATAATTAATCTTTTTAAAGTTGTTTGCAAAAGGGAAAAAGAAACACAACCACTAAACTTGACAACTATTAAGATGCTGCAATGCGACAAGGAGCAATGCAAATGACAGCAACTGATGAACTGAGAGTAGCAACATGAGCCAGCTTGAACCAACCCATTGAGAGCACTTCTGAATGACGCACAGCACAGCAGAAAATTATTGCACACGCATTTTGCTCGGTGCACAATGCAACCTATTTATACAACGTTCCAAATCAAAAACTAATTCTAACAATAAACTTGCTTCAGTCTCAATGACAAACTTTGCACTTGTGGCGATGAGAAATCTAATGTAAAAGAAAGCGGTGGACAAGTCCATCAACTTCTGAAACATTCTGTGTATCAATCTTCAGAATTTCCTTCAACATACATGAATGATGGTACTTTCTGGATGTAAACTGAGTCTCTAAATTGTCGTCAGCTTGGGTCAGTTGGTAGCACTCTTGCCTCCGAGTCAGAAGGTTGTGGTTTCAAGCCCCACATCGGGACTTTCAACTCACCAATGAAGTGCTGCGGGAGCGCTGCATTGTTGGAGGTGCTGTCCTTCAGATGAGACATTAAACTGATGTCTGTGCCTGTTCAGGCAGACCTTAAGGATCCTGCGGCGCTATTAAAAAGAGAAGGGTATTTCCCTCTCGTGGTGTCCTAGCTGACAATCCCTCAAAATAAAATTGGTCATTCTTCTTCATGGCTGTTTATGGGACATTGCTGTAGGCAAATTGCTGCTTCCTTTGTCCACAAAACATACTTTACAGTGTGAACTTTACAGTATATCCTGTGAAGCTCTTTGGGACATCCTCTAGATTTGAATAGCTATACCAAATGTAACAACAACTTGCATTTCTATAGCCCCCTCGTGAATGACCAATTCTAACTGGGGACTTGTAGGCCAGGAGCTCCCATTTTTCAAGTAGCACCATGGGATTTAATACGCAATTGAACAGGCAGACAAGATGGGGTCTGTGTAACATCTCATTCGCAGGACAGCACTACTGACAATGCAGTTGCAAATGCACAGTGTATTGGAGTGTCAGCCAAGTCCTGACCTGGGCTTATCCTAATCACAAAACTGTGTTCAGAATGTCACAACGCTTTCTTTGTTTGCTCAGTTCTGGCACAACGTTTCCCTTGCAACTTACACAAGTGATTATAAGCAAATGGTAACTAGACTCCGGGGTGTTCATACCAACCTGGGCACTGGATAAATGACCAGTTGGATTTCAGTTCCTCTGGGCACATGGTGGAATTCAACATGGGCTCGGAGTACGTCTTCGTGGAGGAAATATTCACCGGTCCTCGATAAGCCCCTTCGATGCACTGTCCTTTCCCAGTGTTGCTGGGCTCGGTACACCATCCACACCCTGGTTGCTCCAAGCATAGATTGCACGTACGGTAACCGGAACAATTCTCAGCTAAGAGAGAGAGAAATTGTCAGCACAGCAGGAGGCCATTGGGTTGGTGCCACTGCTACATTTGTTTAAATCACTCACTCCGTTAATCCCAACATCACCAAATGCTTTTACTCCTCAGGTGTTAACCCCCCAAAACTTATATACTGTATATAATAATAATCCTTGCATTTGATATGCGCCATATCAAGTCATTGAGACATCTCAAAGTGCTTCACAGAATATCCTGTAAAGTCAATTGACTGTATACTTCGTGGGTGAAATGAGGCAGCCAATTGCCCATAGCAGTCAGTGTCCCACACACAGTCCTGGATTCAGTGACCAATTTATTATCAATTCTTTTTAAGGGATTATTAGCACCAGAAAAGCGATCTGCCAATCGATTCAGTTGCGCACAGCAACATGCCCACAAACAGCCGAGATTGGACCAATGGAAAAAAAGATGCTTATTCAGTACACTTGAAGGCTTACATTTCTCCAACCTCAATAGCTAATTGTGGGAGTTCATTCGAGCCCTAACAACTTTCCAAATTTAAGTTTCTTAAATGAATGTCAACAGCCTTTAATGATAACCCATTGACTTCACTGTTGATTAGTTAATGCAAAGAAATGCTTCCTGGTGGCTGTTCTAGACTTGCTCCTCTAATGATCTTGTGCTCCCGAGCCCCTCTCTGACTGCCTACAATCATCTCCCTTATCTCCTGGCACGGCGTCAAGCTCCGCCATTGTTAAGCGCTCAGTAACCCTCATGAAGGGCACTAAATAAATGTAAGTTAGGTTATTATTTCTGGTTAATAATTTCTAATCATTGTATTGGTATTAATAATTTAATACCAACCAGACACCAACAACAACAAATTACATGTGTATAGCACCTTTCATTTCGGGAGGGCTTCCCAAGGCGCTGAACAGTCAGTAATTTGGATCGACGCTAGGAGTTGGGATCAGGAGAGGTAGAGGGCAGGGAGCGTAGGGGTAGGTGGGTGGCCAAAGAGGAAGATCTTGAGATGTGTCATGAAGGAGGCAAGCAGGGGGGACACGAAGGGTCTGTGGGATGGAGTTCCAAAGGGTGGGAACAGAGAGGCTGAAAGTTGGATCACTGATGGTGGGGTGGGCAGGGAGACATGGAACAGGCTGGATCCTGCTGAGCGCCGACCGGCTAAAATGAGCATAGCCACTTTGCAAATATCGCAAACTGCATCCCAGTGTAAATTTATAACTGTACCCAACAATACCAGTGGAAAAAATCGATGCTGGTAACATTACAAGCTTTATTGAAAGCTACTTTTAAGATGCGTTATCTGCTTGAACAAACGTATTATTGTACATTTGACTAATTAGGTATCACCAGCGCTGATGCCCTTAACACCCAGAAACACAATTTCAATATTTCAGTATTTAATCTTTCTAACATTTGGCATTTTCCATTAGAAAATGCTATAATTAGCCACTTGCAATTACAATAAATTCCAGCGATCAGACTGATAAAATAGCGCGACTGTCTAATTAAGACCAGTCACTAACAGAGTTTCCTAAAATGTGACAAGCTGATTCAGGTTTAAAGGATGCGGGTAGACACTGGGAGGGCAGAAACAAGCACTCCTTTGTGTGTCTACCATACAATAAGGATATTTTTAACCCAAACTCAGGAACTAGGAAACAATTAAATGGAGCATTTTTAAGAGTGTCTTGATTACTCTAAAAGTACAGTCATTAACTGAAGGACGGCACCTCCAACAATGCAGTGCACCCCAGAACTGTACTGTCAGGCTAGGCTGTGTTCACACATGCTGAGGTGGGGCTAGATTGCAGTCCAAAATTACTATAGATCGGCTTTCATGTCAGCAGACATCCGAAAGCACTCAACAGCACAGCATGGGCAGTCGAGCAGAGGGTTGGGAGGGGAAAGATGGCTAAAAGCTGAGTTATAGAGGTAGAGACAGAACTTGAATGGGGGGAGAGAAGTTCCAGAGACTGGGACGGGGAGGGCAGAAAGGCTGAAAGCCCATCAACGCTCGAAAATGCTGAGCCAAGCTGATATCCGAGACACCTCTTGCTCTCGCTGCTGATGCAGTTTTCGATATTTGCAAAGGGGTTGGGAAGTGCTAATTTTAGCCGGTCGGACAGAGGACTGCTCAGTGCAAATGCACAAATTGGGGGGCGGGCGGGGTGGGGGTGGTCAAACGGCGGCAATGAGGGAGGTGGCTTCTCACTCTTAGGCCTTTCTTTCTATCATTTCAGTGGTCTTTGGCATTGTGACACTCCGCATGGAGCGGAGCACTACGAAGTGCTATAATGGACTACTCACGTGTAGTTAATGGACTACTCACGTGGACAGCTGCTCATGGTGTACCACTCCATGCACTGGCCGAACGGGAAGGAGGCCACGTAGGCCTTGGAATCCACACACTGCTTCATGTTGCTGCACCACATGCACTCGGTGCTGCTGCTGGTACACTCCCCACACGTCATTCTCTGGGCACACGGAGTGCGGCACTGCTTGGCACTGTGATTTGCTGCAAATTAGAGAGATTCCGCTTTAATCAACAACTCTGCTTCTCATTTTCTTTCCCGCTGCGGGCGGCCCCGTGCTTCACTAGGCATTGACTTTACCCATGAAGACATCATAGTGAATCCCATTCCTCCTTTTTTCTTGGAACTTTATCTAATTATTGTCTAAAAGAATTAGGAACTCCCATCAATAGTTTGTGGCAGACAATTTCCTTATTCTTAGCTTAATTCTTTTTGTGACTGTCTTAAATTTCTTATTGCTATAATAATATAGAATAATAAGCCTTATATTTGATATAGTGCCTGATCGCGACATTGAAACAACTCAAAGCACTTCACAGAAGATATTGTAAAGTGGATTGACTGTTTATATTATGGGTGAACCAGGGCAGCTAATTGTGCACAACAATTTCCCACAAACAGTTATGGGACCAATTTTTTTAATGACTCACTGACTATTCCCAGGGGATGGGTGGGATGGATACCTCAATCCATATTATTGCTCAAAGCTCAGCTACCGTGGCTTAAAATTCAAGAGGCTGTTGCAGACTGATTAACTTCTAACTTTTTCCTCTTTCGCTTGAGGCTAAAAGGCAGCGGTTACAGATCTGGATTTATTCTAATAATCCTTACATTTGATACAGTGCTTTTCATGTCAGGAAGATGTCTCAAAGCGCTTCACAGGATTTACTGCAAAAAGGGGTTACTGTGCATTTTTGGTGGGTGAAGACTCGTGTCATGTATGAACATCAACACACTAGTTGGGCCGAATAGCCTGTTCCCATACTGTACAGTCTATTTAAATCTATGTAAATGTGGCTGCCAATTTTCACAACATCCCACACGGACATTCAAAGTGTAAGAGAGGGTAATAATAATAATAATAATAATCCTTGCATTTGATATAGCGCTTTTCACGTCGGGAGGACGTCCCAAAGCGCTTCACAGAACACACTGTAAAGTGAATTGACTGTATATTTGTGGGCAAACGCGGCAGCCAATTGCGCACAGCAATGTCCCACAAACAGTCGTAGGTTGAAAATGACCAATTTATTATTGTTTTTGGTTTTGGAGGGATTATTATTAGGTGTGTGGAGTAAGGAAACTTGCCCAAGGTTTCGCCCTCTGCCTGGAATTGAACTCAGGTCTCTCGCTTGCAAAGCGAGTGCTCTAACCACTGAGCTACAGGACTCCACAGGGTAAGTAAGGAAATGCAATGTGTCCTAGCATGCATAGAGACAGACAGCCTGTACAGCACGGAAACAGGCCACTCAACCCAACCATCTGTACCAACGTTTATGTACAATACAAAATTACATTTGTATATCACGAGTCTCCACCCACACCTCCTGTACCCTTTTATTCCCCTCTCCATCATGTATACATATCCAGCTTCCTCTTAAATGTACCTATCTGTTTCAACAACTTTGGGAAGCAAGTTCCACATTGTCACTACCCATTGTGTTAAGTAGTTCCTCCTAAATTCTCTTTTAGATTCCCCCCAGTCACTATCTTATATCTGTGCCCCCTGGTTACAGATTCTTCAACAAGTGAGAACAGCCTATTTATGCTAACCTTACCAAACCCTTTTAGAATTTTTGCAAATTTGTGTCGAGAGAAATCTCAACACTGCTTTATCTTCATATCAAACCTTTCACAATTAGAACAGACTCAGAGAGCATCACGGAATTAAATTAGAATTATAGAAATGAAGTGGAAGTTTTGGAGACAAGACGATTAATTAGAATTTCAGGAGTGAATTTGGATGAGGAGGTAATGTAAGGTAAGCAACTGAGAGGCCTGGCTGTTCAGCTGGATGCGAAAAGATCACCTGGCACTATTTAAAAAGTAAAGGGAGTTTCTCCAGCCCTTGTGGTCAGCAATCCCCTAGAAAGGCCGCTTCCACTTGTTGCCAATTCCAAAACCAGAGGGTATAAATATACAATTCTTGCATAGTACAGGGTGTCCAGAAAGTCCTGTTACCCCCATGTTTATTTTCTATAGGGCATTGACCAACGACTGAAACATGTGGAAGAATGATGATAGTTGTATTTAGAAGCACTTCATTGTATTCAGCACAAGTGTTTAACTATATTTAGACGTCCAGAGGAGCGGTGTGAGTGAGAGGCATCATTTTCAGGCAGATAATGATCCGTCACCATGTTCAGTGCAACACCTTGTGTAACATGATGGAGTGAGGAGGGGAAATGCATCTCTAGACGCTTGTGTCAACTCCTCCATAGTCTCATATTCCAGTTTTGTAACAGAGGGTAAGATGGCTTTGTGGATACGCTGTAGATCTAATCTAAACTAAGGGAGTTTAGGAGGAACTTCTTCAAGTGGCAAGAAAGTGGAATTCACTACCAGAAACTGTGGTTGTAACAAATGGCACCAAAGTAGTTACGAAAATACTTAGATTTTTGGGGAAAAGTGAATTTGGGGTAGGGAAGAATATATAACAGTATCGTAATCCTTGATGTGGTGTTGTGCCCAAGACATTTCAATGCGCTTCACAGGATTTAACTGACGTGTAGTAATGTATCTATGTATCTTTTAGATGAACGCGACAGCACACAACATCCTGCAAAAGCCACGAAGCGAGTGACCGATTTTATGGGGGGGGGGGGGGGGGGCGATATTGTCAGGCAGTAGAGCACAAAACATTGATTTAAAATGACAGACACATTTCAAAAATGGACGGTGGAGGGGGAATGGAAACGAAAAAGAAGCAATCATCATCTTACAAAGCTGCTTAAGCAACACAAGTAGAGAGAAGTAATTTTCATTTATTTTGTGTCAGGGTGACCTGTAGATCTCAAGGACTTTTTAAGTATATATACTATTCGTTCTCATCTGTCATATGGCTCCTACAAACTGCATTGGCATTCATCCATCAGGTTAGTTTGACCCATTTCCCCATTGCCATTGCCAGTTTTGTTCTAGAGCCATGGCATGGTTCCGCATTTCGGAAAGCTAAACCATTGTGTCGTAAATATATGGATCAAGCTCCCTACGGAAACAGTGGAAGCAGAAATTGTTGCTTCTTTCAACAGATTAGATAGATTTCTGTAAGGAAATAATATGTCGAGAAACAATTATGTGGAGAGACTAGAGATGTCCGGATTATTCTCCTTAGAGTAGAGAAGGTTGAGGGGAGATTTGATAGAGGTGTTCAAAATGATGAGGCATTTTGATGGAGTAGATAGGAAGAAATTGTTTCCTCTGGCGGGTGGGTCGCTAACAGATTTAAGATAAAAATTGACAAAAGAACCAGAAGGGCGACAAGGAGATTTTCTTTCACCAAGAGAGTTGTTACAGTCTGGATGCACTGCCTGAAAGGGCGGTGGAAGCAGATTCAAAAATAGCTTTCAAAAGGGAATTGGATAGGTAACTTGAAAAGGAAACATTTGCAGGGTTATGGGGTAAGAGGGGCGAGGCAGTACGACTAGTTGATAGCTCTTTCAAACAGCCAGCACAGGCACGCTCGGCCGAATGGCCTCCTTCTGTGCTGTAAAATTCTATGATTCTCTGACACAATATATAGTTTGGGAAATGACATGTCAAGCAAATGCAATGATGGTGGAAGGCGAACTGGATGGATCTTGGTCTTCTTTCGCCTAGCAAATTCATATTTTCTTATGTGTCGACTTGAGATGTTTTTTGTATAAAATATTCTCACTGCTGCCAAGAAATCCATATTCACACAGAGGCGGGCATCAATAGTGAGGGGTCATTATTTATTACCACTCGGCCCTGCGAGTCAGTAACAGAGAGAGAAACCATAGAATGTAAGGTAATTAGAGAAAAAATTAAAGAGGAGGTTTAGTGGTGGGGGGAATAATCGGCTTCACTCTGAGTGTGTTTGGAATCTGGATTCGGCAATCATAAAGCACTGCTGAAGCAGAGGCCATCAATTATTTTAAAAGAGAACGAGATAGGATCTTGAATAGGAGGAATACTGAAAGGAAAGAAGGATATGGTTCGACGAGGTGGCTGGTCAGTACAAATTTGTTTTGCCCACAAAATGCTCCTCTTTATTTGTTGATTCCTCCAGTTTATTTATTAACCAACAAAAATGTGTTCACTCAATCCACGACTGTTTGTGGGACACTGCTGTGTGCAATTAGCTTCTGCTTTTTGCCCGCAAAATACAGTCAATTCACTTTACAAGATATTCTGTGAAACGCTTTAAAACGTCTCAACAACGTGATGAGGTGCTATGTCAAATGCAAGGATTACTTTTATTGTCCCATTTGTATGCCGCAGTACTTTAGGATTTCAGAAGCTCTGCTTGCCCCTTTTCTACACACACATACCCACTCAGTGGAATGCCTACAATGTAATGCTGGAGTGCCAGAATTAAATGCCTCCACTGAGACTCTGAAGATTTGCATTGCACTCAGCTCTCGAGCCTCACAAGGCACATTCATTAATTCACAGCCGAAAGCAGCCTGTCAAGCAGAGTGGGAAGGTGTATAATTTACAGTGTCTTTAACAAGGTGTCCACCTTCCACTGAAAATCCCAGAAAGTAATCAAGTATAAGGCACCAATCTGACTATTTTTAAAGCCGTTGCGATCATTTTCTGAACACAAGCCCACTCAAGAGCAGAAGCATGCAATTTCATTCCCTTTCAATGGTTCAAAATTGCTTTTTGACATTTCCAGCTCGCACGTGCTTCAATTTATTAACAAACTTTACTTTCCAAATGTCACCCAAATCTCCATTTTAATTTCACTTTTTCATCTGAACCTTTCATTCTCACGCTTAGAACTCTGGTTTGAAAACTCGTAAGCATAGTGATGGGTTTCCTCATGTGTCACGATACCTGGCTGATCAATTGTCACTTTCTTCCTCTCCCTCTTCCTCTTCTCCCCCAGAAACTCAGCATCAAGCCCCATCACTTTTAAACGCTCTGAGACACATATAAATGCAAGGTGTTGCTGATCCAAAACTTGTGTCCTCTCCCCCACCAGGCTCCGCACATTAGCACCATCTTTGTCAGGCTCCCGGTAACCTGTTGCATCAACTTTCCAATCCCTTCACCATTTGCCTCTCTCTACCTATGAGATCTCCTCCAGCCCTATTCTGCTGTCCCTGCACTGACTTTGGTCTAATGCTAAGTCAATTTCTCAATAGAGAGCACACTTGCTTCTAACATGTGCCCACTCTCTGGAACCCGGTCACAATATCCATTCAACCTGTGTGTTCTCTCTCTGCCGACAAAAAATCGCTTAAAAATTCCATCTCTGAATGTGGTCGCCTCACTGAAAACTCCTCTTTATTTATTTATCCACCCCAAACATATTTATTGACCCCACCCCCCAAAAAGATTTGGTCACTCAATCCACGACTGTTTGTGAGACACTGCTGTGCACAATTGGCTGCTGCGTTTCGCCCACAAAATACACTTTACGATATAGTATTATTATCCCAATCGTTTAAAAGCAACAGCAATAAGAAAATTACATTTGTAAAGTGCCTTTCATGTCGGGAGGACATCCCAAGGCGCTGGACAGAGTTTCGAACCCGAGCTGGGGGTTGGAATCGGGAGGGTGGAGGTTCATGGGGGGGAATCAGGGTGATCGAAAGCACGGTCGAAGAGGAGGGTCTTGAGATGGATCTTGAAGGACGGAAGGGAGGGGGCGAGTTGGAGGGACAGTGGGATGGAGTTCCAGAGGGTGGGGGCAGAGTGGCAGAAGGCTGCCTGCCAATGGTAAGGCAGGCGAGGCGGGGGACTTGAAGCAAGCTGGAGCCCGCTGAGCGGAGGGAGCAGGCAGGATGGTAGAGGTTTAGGAGGTCACAGAGGTGGTGGGGAGCAAGACCTTGGAGGGTTGTGAAGGTGAGGACCAGGATCTTGAACTGTATCCTCTGTGTCATGGGAAGCCAGTAGAGTCGGGCGAGAATGGGGTTGATAGGCAAACATGAGGGGCAAGCTCTTGCTCAAGACATTCATCCTATGTGACAGGAGCGGTACAAGTTGTTGTTTAGCTTACAAAGGCAACCAGGCGGTAATGCCCACAAGATTCCCGAAATAACTGAATGTTTGATGAGGTATAATTAGCTGAACGTACCTGGTCTTTCACACACACTTCCATTCACAGAGCTGATGCAAGTAGCTGCCTTCAGGCCAGTGTGGTTATGCTCTGCCAAGTAGCCACAGAAACCCGCATCGCTGGGCTCCTCTGCCAACCACTGCAGTGACGTGTTGGTGAAAGGCAACATGTCTTCCCAGCACCAATAGGAGACGTTGATCTTCCGTAATCCAACCCAAGGAGTTATAGGCTCTTTGTACTAAAATCCAATCAAATATTTGCATTATGATTAAAAAAAATTCTTGCATTTGATATACCTATAAAGTCAACATAATAATAATCCGTTGCATTTGATATAGCACGTTATGACGTTGTTGAGACATCTCAAAGAGCTTCAGAGAGCATACTGTAAAGTGAATTTCAGACCAAATGGGGCAGCCAATTGCGCAGTACAGTGCCCACAGTTGTGGATTAAATGACCAAATTATTATTTTTTATTTAGTTAGTTTTTTTTAAAGGATTATTACCAACAGAAAGTGATTCGCCAATCCTCTAACAATAGAGTCCCTACTTACTGTAAGGTAAATAGAGGGGCGGTGATTAACTAAACTTTCCTAAGGTTTCGCCCTGTCTGGGAATCGAACCTGGGTACTTTTGTTTGCGAGGTGACTGCTTTAACCAATACGCTACAGGACTCCACGTTATGTACAGTGACTATTGGGCTATTGCAACACTGGAGTGTCGACTTGCACATAGTTAGCTCAATCATGACATGGGCTTAAATCTACACCATTCTTACAAAGAGATCAAAATGCGACCAACTAAGCCATGCAGACAACCGAGTCAATTTTCCACAATGAATTTGGAAATACAGAAAGTTGAGAAAAGAAAAACATGAAATCTAAGTTACTTGCAAATTTAAACCAACTTAAAAGTTGAATTACATGGGTTTAAAAGTACCACACATCACCATTCCCCAAACAAGTGAGCAGATTGGTAGCAGACACAACAATAATAATTCTTGCATTTGATATAGCACCTTATCACATCATTAAAACAACTCAAAGCATTTCACAGTGAATTGCAAAGTGAATTGACTGTATATTTTGTAGGCAAAACATGGCAATTCTGAGGATCTGTGCATAAGCAATCTGCAGCAGGTTGCACTCACCAATAAGTACATAATCTGCAATTCTTTCAAGACAAACTCAACTTTCTTCTGGGTTGTGAGTGAAGCCAGTGCTGCATGCTGACCCCGACACATCAGTTTAGCGTTGTCGTAGTTCTCTTTTGTGGTGCTGATCGTCAGGCACGAGTTTCCCACCAGATGCCAGTTCTCACCGCAGATGGTTTCTGTGTTCCCCAGTTTAAAAATAAAGTAAAATACGAGATTTGGAAAAATCTCACATTTGATGTAGCATCTTTGTAATATTAATAATCTTGCATTTGATACAGTGCCTTATCATGTAGTTGAGACATTTTAAAGCATTTCACACGATATACAGTAAAGTGCAGTAACAGTGTACTTTGTGGGCGAAACGCGACAGCCAGTTTGTGCACATCAAGGTCTCACAAGCAGCCGCGGAACGAGTGATCAATTTTGTTTGGGGGATTGTTGGCCAGTACACAGAGAGAGTAACTCCCTTCCCTTTTCGAATAGTGCCATGGGATCTTTAATGTTTGCCTAAACAGACAGACGGGACCTCAGTTTACCGTCTCATCCGAAGGACACAATAGGAAATGGCATCCAAATTAAGACTGAATTGAAACATTTTCCATAATTCTGCATAATCTTAAATTTTAAGACAAAATGGTCAGACACTCTTTCACGTCCCCAAGGCACTTCACAGGATTTACTGTAGAGTGTAGTGACTGTGTATTGTGTAGGCAAACGTGGCAGCCAAATCACAATATCCTACAAACAACCATGAAGTGAATGATCAAATTACCTGGGGGCGCGAGGGGGAGGTTTGTTGGGCAGGACACCGGAAGAAACTCCCTTCTCTTTTCAAGTAGTGACATCCGGTCTTAACATTCCCCTCGGTTTAATGTCTCATCCGAAGGTCAGCCATGTAGCGCACTCTCCCCTCCCTCCCCAGCACTGCACTGGAGTGTTAGCCTGGACTATATATGTGTCCTTAACGTAGGTCCTGAACTCACAATCTTCTGACTCAGAGGTTAGAGTGCAAGCAACTGAGCCAGCTGACCTTATAACAATATTTCCAGCATCTGTAGTATTTTGCGTTTTGTTTGCAACAATATTATTTTGTCTTTGTTAAAAAAGTGTAACACAAATCTCAGATTGGAAATCCTACACTTATGTAAGTGAATATAAAACTCTACACAAAACTTTACTCAGGGAATAGCATTAAGCAGAGCAACATAAAATAGATGTTTTTAAGGAAAACTTGAAAGAGTAATTCCTACCAGGCAAGGGGATGCATTCCTGGTTTCTGGATTCCCACTGACAGTTCTGATCCATGGCACAGCTTTTACAGCTGGTCAGTTTATTGCAAACATATTCAGGTTTGTCCTTCGGACATATCTCGTACTCCAAAATTAGCCTCTGTGACAGAAACAAGCACTGAGCATGAGTGGAGATAATAATACATGCACATACACACATTAATAATCCTTGCATTTGATATCGTACCTTATCATGTAATTGATAAGCCTCAAAGCTCTTCACAGAATATACTGTAAAGTGAACTGATAGCATATTTTATAGTCGAAACATGGCAGCCAATTGTACACAGCAGTGTCCCACAAACAGTTGGGGATTGAGTGACCAAATTTTCATTTAGAATTTTTTTGAAGGGATTATTACCCCTGGAAAGTGATCGACCAATCGACTAAAAACCTGGTTCCTACTTACTGCTACCTAAATAGAGGCATGTGGAATAAGGAAACTTTTCACTATGCCTGAGAATCAAACCAAGATTCTCTCCCTTGTGAGGAGAATGAACTAACCACTGAGCTACAGGACTCCGAAGCTCCTTCTCCTTTGAAACTCTATGATGTTTTTCTCCGTTACTGAAGATCAAGGGATATCCTTCGTCAAGTGTTGCAGCGACACAACTATGACTTATTTCACTGAGATTTGAAATTAAGCTACAGTGCAACTTCAGCCACAATGTGAGATTCTCCTTGTAATGCAATTAAGAGTGGAATTCATAGAATAATAGATTCCTACCGCACAGAAAGGGGCAATTCGGCCCATTGTGCCTGTGCTGGTTCTTTGAAAGAGCTGCCCAATCAGTCCTACTCCCCCACTCTCTCCCCTTGGCCTGCAAAATTTTCCTTTTAAGTAAATATCTAATTTCCTTTTGAAAGTTATTATTTAATCTGCTTCCACCACCCTTTCAGGTAGTACATTCCAGATATAACTCGCTGTGTAAAAAAAAATGTTCTCCTCGTCTCTCCTATGTTTTTTTTCATCAATTATCTTAAATCTGGCAGGTGGGTTGGTATCCTATCCCAGTGGCAAGTTTCTGCTTATTTACTCTATCAAAACCCCTCATAATTTTGAACACCTCTATTAAATATTCCCTTAATCTTCTCTGCTCTAGGGAGAACAATCCCAGCATCTCTAATCTTGAAGCGGAATGGAAGTAATCCTGAGGCCTGACTGCTGTACTTACACTGTCATCTGTGCAGTTATTGCCCTTTGACATGCATTTGTTGCACCACTGACAGTCGTTGGTGTTGGCTGTGCAGCTGTAGCAGTCGGTGTACTGTTCACATTTCACAACGTCCACTTCTGTGGGAATATTAATTACAATAATCATTGCATTTGATATAGCGCCTTATTATGTCTTAAAGGCGTCTCAAAGTGTTTCACAGAATACACTGTAAATCGATTGTGACTGTATATTTTGTGGGCAAAACGCGGCAGCCAATTGCACACAGCAGTTTCCCACAAACAGTTGTAGACAAGGTGACCAACTTTTTTTTGAGGGATTATTACTCTGAAAAAAATATTCGCCAATCGACTTACTGCAAGGTAAACAAAGGCGTGTAGAATAAGGTAACTTGCCTAACGTCTCACCATGCCGGGGCTTCAAATCCAGATCCTCTCGCTTGCGAGGCGAGTATTCTAACTACTGTGTTACAGGACTCCACAAATGCAGTTGTGTTAACGCAGTTTGTCAATCTCCGAGGGCAGGATTTTCATAATAAAAAAAAACTATGTTCTGTTCAATTCTACAGAAATCCGTTCAGTAAAGGGGGGTACATTTAAAACAAATCTGAAGGGTTCCTTCAAAACAATTGAAGGGTGGATAAATTCGAAACACATCTGCGGAAACACTACTTCAGTGAGCGAGTAGTAAACTTATGGAACAGGCTCCTTAGGGAGACTGTGGAAGCAGAAAGTGCTGTTACTTTCAAGAACAAATTAGATAGAATTATTTTAGGAAATAATATCTCAGAATACACTATATAGTTTGGGACATGACTGCCAGGATGGTGGAAGGCGAACTGGATGGACCTTGGTTTGCTTTAGTAATTGTGATGTTCTTATGTTCAGCAACCAATAAGCATAGTTCTGTTTCAACTGCCTTCTCTCCAGTTCCTGCTCTCCATCCTTCACCCCCCTCCCCAGTAGAAAAACAAATGTCATATTCTTCACCTGTTACAAATCTAGACAGTTTCAGAAGCAGAATCGCTCTTTTATGCTACTTTACTGACCTTGAGCAATAGTCAAGGTGATTCTGGCTGCACAGTATATCTGGGGGTGGGTCAATGGGGAGGCCTCAGGCTGTACAAACTGCATTGGAGTCGAGTGCTTTGGACATTCCCTGGAGGACATGGTGTCAGGTGCAATGAGCTTTGAATCCCGTTGTCGAAGGGGATGGGGGGGGGGAGAGGCGAGAAGGAGCAGCAGTACCAGAGCTTCCGCAGTTACCAATTACATTCGCCTCACTTCTCTCAAGGACTGTTCAAAGTTTCCACTTTAGCAGCAACAGAATCGCAAAATGCAATGCGTAGTGAACATAAGAACATAAGAATTTGCTAGACAAAAGAAGACCAGGATCCATCCAGTTTGCCTTCCACCATTCTGGCAGTCGCATGCACATGTCATGTCCCAAACAATATACTGTATCCCAAAGATATTATTTCCTAAAAGAAATCTATCTAAATCTTAGTGACTGACCACAAACTTCTTCACTCAGGGTACGACACGGTACCAGATCCCATACTGTGTCAGGCTTACAGTCTCCTTTTCTCTGACCCTCCACTCACAACCAAACAACTAACTAAAAACAACCTGTGCTTGGCTTAAACGCAGTCACAAAATTCCCAATATTCTCCTATACTGTCTTAATTTGTGGGCGAAACGTGGCAGCCGATTTCTCAAAGCAATGTTCCACAAACAGAGTTGAGTGACTAAGTGATTTACTTATCTATTTGTTTACTTATTGATTTATTTTTTAAAGGGATTATTACCCCCAGAAAGCAATTTGACAATCGACTAACAACCGGGTTCCTACTGACTAGGTAAACAGTGTAGAGTAAGGAAACTTGCCTAAGGTTTCTCTCCATCTGGGAATCGAACCTAGGTCCTCTCACATGCAGGGCGAGTGCTCTAAGAGAAGGCGCTTATGCAAAGAATTATCATAATGAACCCATCCCCTATTGTTCTGTTGCCTTGCTGCATATGTATGTCCTGTCCCGGATATGCTCTCTCGGTCCCGCTATTGCATATTTCAAAAGCAAGTTCCCCTTTTGAACTGTTCCCACTCTTCAATGTCTGAAGGTTATTAGAATACTTGAATCTTTAATAACAGTATTTCTGATCGATTGCTTTTCAACATTCTCGCTCTTTAAATAGACCATTTAGCCGGGTTGTGGCACTTTGCTCTCTTACCAAGCACTGCAATTATATGCAATGTCCTCTCATCGATTCGGTGCTAATGTGCTGTGAGGGAGAAATCGGACTCTAAATCAAACCTCAAGCAAGAAAGAGCTGAGCCTGTTAATTTCTTCTCAGTGAAAGCAACAGGAGACTTTGAAATTAGCTGTCACTCATCAGGTTAGTTCTGCCCACGTGTGGACTCTGATTGAGGATCTTATTCCCCTTGTCCAATCGCTGCAACTAAGAACTAATCACAACAACAATATAGCGCTCCTCATGCCCACCTTGTCTTCGACCATGCCTTCGATCTCCCTGCTTCCCCACCTGCCCTCCACCCTCCCACACCCCGACCCTCAGCTCGGGTCCATAACTCTGTCTGTCCAGCACCTTGGGACGTCGTCCTGACGTGAAAGGCGCTACACAAATGTAATTTTGTTGTTGTTGTTGGTTGTTGTTGTTGGTAGCATCCCAGAGCACTCAACATTCCAGAGATGGAGCATGACTCCAAGCCTGGGGGAGATGATCGTAAGCACGGCCAAAGAGGAAATCACAGAAAGTTACAGCAAAAGAGAAGACAATTTGACCCAATAAGCCTACATCTGCTCTCTGAAAGTGTTGTCCATTCAATCCCACTCCCCTCCCTTTCATAGATACTGCTCAAACCCAAGATCTGGTCATTCTCTCTCTCAGTGGGCAGTGGTCTGCTTCATGTCCCCCACCCTACCTGATACACTATCGGGGTTTGGGCTTTCAGCTTGTCTACCCTTATTCTCTGGAACTCGATTCTGGAGAGCCTCCAACTCCCAATTCCCCTTTTAGAAGATAAATAATAATCCTTGCATTTGATATAGCACTTCATCACGCCGTTGTGACGTCTCAAAGCACTTCACAAAAGTGAATCGATTGACTATGTTGTGGGAGAAAATTTAATTAAATTAAAATTTTATGGAATCAGTCCTGATCACCAATTGTGTCAAGAAAATCTCACGAGTAAAAGTAATGTGATACAAATTTATAATTATACAGCACCTTTCACATCAGGCGGCTGGCCCAAAGTGCTTAACAATCTGGCTTTGGCACTTGAGTTGGGAGTGGGAGCTGAGAAAGACGACCAAAGGCCCAGTCCAAGAGGAAGTGGATCTCGAAGGAGGTGAACGAGGGAGCGAGTTGGAGGCACTCCAGAATCGAGTTCCAGAGAGTAGCAGACAAGCTGAAAGCCGAACTGCCGATAGTGTGGCAGGTAGGGTGGGGGACATGAAGCAGACCACTGCCCACTGAGAGAGGGAGTGACCAGGTCTTGGATTTGAGGAGGTTGCAGAGCAACCAGCAGGCACCTCTCTGTGATTCCCCCCTCCTAGCCATGGTCCTAATGTGCTACAACAGGAATATTTGAGCTGTAAATGTTTAGGGGAGGCAGCACCACAGAGGAAGGATAACCTGGGTGACCTTTTCACTAGGAAAACAGGGACAACCTAAAGGAAAGATGGCAAAGGGTTAAAAAAGGTGGGTCAACAATCTGCTTCAAAAATACAACAACTTGGATTCATGCCCTCCCTACCTGAAAGGCTCGAAATAAATGTGAATTTGTATTATAATTTGTATTGTTGTATAGTGCCTTTTGCATCAGGTAATGTCTCAAAATGTTACATAGACAATCACGGATACTAAGCAGGAAAGGTGGGGAGGGGAATGAAAGAAGTTCCACAGTCAAAGAAAGAGAATTTCAAGAGACTTTTAAACAATAAAATTACATAATACAGCACCTTTCCCGTCAGATGGACATCCCAAGGCACTGGAAAGTGGCTTGAAGACAGTGGAGAGGAAGCAGATGGAGCGATTTTGGGAGGGAGCTGCAGAGAGTAGTAGCATCGTAGCCTATACATTTTTATAGCTCCTTTTGCATTGTGAGGCCCTTATGAAGCACTGAATAATGCGACAGGGCACGTGAGCTAGGAGAGGGAGGCGAGAGGGTTTGGGAGGGGAAAGGTGACCAAAAGCATGGTCAAAGAGGTACATTTAAACAGTAAACACAGTGCATAGTAAACCTGATTGATTCATCAGACGAGATTCAATCTAGCCCACAAACCAAGAGCAGCCAAGGAAATTAAACAGGGAGAGGGGTTGGTGGGTGCAGTTCCACACATCCGACCTGAACGCCCTAATTAAGAGACTCACCTATCTTGCTGGGACACAGGATCTGATGTTTCTCCTGTTGCTGAAATTCTGAAGAAGCCGTCTGACACACGAAGGAGGTGACATTCCAGGAGCAGTGCATTACTGGGCTGGCATCAACGCACTCGCTCTGCTGAGTGAGCGCCTCACAAGTGGCTGGGGTGAAGGTCAGCACGTCGCTCAGCAGCAGGCTGTTGAAACCACCGAAGATGTACATCGTCCTACAACAGAGGGAAAGAGCAAACGAAACATTAAGAACTCCTGTAATCCTCCTGGCTACTTCGTCAGTCTGATGGCACTTTCACCTCTGGGTCAGAAGGTTGTGGACTCAAGGGGGATGGAGGAGGGAGCGCTACGATGTTGAAGATGTTCCAGATACAAATAGCCGTTCACTTCACGCTGACTGTTTGCAGGATGGTGCCGAACAGATTGGCTCCTGCATTCATCCACAATATACAACAACTACTTACATTTATATAACACCCCCAAACCCAGGGTTGCATCTCAGAGGTCTTGACAGTGGCAGAGCCTGATGCAGAGCCAGGAGGTTGGGGTGGGAGGGAGGAGGTGACCTTAGACAAAGATCTTCAGGCACAACCTAGAGATGGGGAAGGCGGGGGCAAGGCGGAGGGATTAAGGGAGAGTGTTCCAGAGTTTCAGAGCAAAGTGGCTGAAAGCGCGCCTGCTGATGGTGAAGTAGAGGGGACAAGGGACAAGTAGGAGGCCGGAGCCAGCCGAGCAAAAGCAACAGAATAATAGTCACTGAATAATTAAACAGGAGGCGTCCCTCAACAGAAAGATTGCACATTCTATTGCAGGTATAGGGAGGTTTCCATATGTACATGGCTATATAAATGTAAATTTTTAATAATAATCCTTGCATTTGATAATAGCGCCTTATCACGTCATTGAGACGTCTCAAAGTGCTTCACAGAATATTCTGTAAAGTGAATTGAGTGTATATTTTGTGGGTGAAACAAATTGTCAACGTCTATGGAACTTTCGGCCCAGTTTTGATACTCTTAAGCTCAGTGATCCAGTTATCTCTGGAATTTCCATGTGTAAGTGAATTCTCAGTTTGGTGATGGGTTTTTTCATGTGTCAAGACACTCGGCTGAACAAACAAACAAACAAAAAGTTAAATAAATAAATAATAATTTAAAAAAAGCTGTGATAGGCTTCCCTGTGCACAAAGACATCTCGCTGACCAAAAAGATACCCCGAATCTCTTACCCATTCACGAACACAGCCGAGTGACCAAACCGGTGAGGAAGATCAGGTGCAGGCAGCACATACCACTCGTCGCAAGCTGTAACCGAACAAAAGGCAATCAGTCAACCACACAATAATTTACGTCCTTCAATCGAGACATTAAATTGAGGTCCCGTCCCATCTTCCTCTCCAGGTGGACGTTTAGGATCCCATGGCAGAATTCGAAAAGAGCCTTAGAACATCCTCCCAATATGAAAGGCCCTGTACAAATGTAATTTGCTGTTGTTGAGAAGGGTTTCTCCCCATGTCCTGGCTAATAACTTTCAAATAAAACTGGTCACTCATGTCATGGCTCTTTGTGGGACACTGCTGTGCGCAAATTGGCTGCTGTGTTTGCCCACAAAACATACAGTCACTACAATTTACAGCATATCCTGTGGAGCTTGAAACGTCTCAATGATGTGATAAGGTGCTGCATCAATCCACTGAAGGCTGCTCCAGTGGCTGAACCTGCAAAGTACCCACCGGCTGCCACAAAACTCGGGACTTCTGAATCTGACTTCATTTATCTTACATCTAGCACTCAGCCCAATGTACTTGTAAAAAGAATCCTCACTCTGAATGCAGCAAAGTAACTGAGAGCCTGGGCTGAATAATGCACATAAGTGCAGTGTTCACTCTCTCAATTCAGTCTCTGCACATTCACTGCCCCTCGTGGTCAGTTTCGAGCATTCAGGAACACTACCCTGTGTGAGCGGCACTATGTAAATACACATTGTTGTATTTGTAGGTTGTACTGGTTCTGAATGGTCCACTGGAATAACACCACCCGCATCCTGACTCTCACATCCCATCATGGCCTCGCTTTTGCCTATCGGTCATCTCCAGCCTTAATCTCTCTCCTGTTCTCTTCTAAATGTGGTCCAGTGCTCGCCCCTCACTTCCGGTCGGAAACTTCAACAACAATAACTTGCACTTCTATAGCATTCCCCAAGCAGGGTAGGTAGTGTTCCAGAATGCTTAACTTCAGCCACAGTCGCCCCACTCGGCTCCCAAAATTCCCTCTCTCTCCCCCTTTTATTGCCTTCGAAACCCTCCTTTACCGACTGACTGTGCTGGAGCACAATCCCTTACTCTCCTCCCTGGCTGCTGTCTCTTTTAAGTGCTCCAAGATATTCATCCTACCCGAGAGACGTTGTGTAAGTTCAAGGAGTTGTACCGTCCCAATGCCAGCAGCGCAATCAATCACTCAATTTTCTGGTGACTACACTTTTTCATCAATTAAATTAGAAAAGCACTGATTGGAATTTAATGGCTCAAATGGAGTTAAACAGGTATTCCCAATGTTACAGTTAGCAGAAAGTACTTCGATAGTATTACCTCAAACATCAAATTAGCTGGATCCACTTCACTGCTCTAGTACTATTAGTGCTGTAAACTTGACAAGAAGAACATACAAATGCAGAGGATCAATCACCACCCGCCAAGTTACTAAATGCAATTTTGTGCTATCACTTAGTGTGCACAAAGCAAGACAAAACCCCGCCAGAGCTTGTTCTGGCAACAATGCTCTCCTCGGAGCCTCGTAAAGAGATTCCTGTCTGTGTTCCAGTTCACGTTCCCATTTCAATAACAAGCAAGAGTTATGCAAAGCTTTCTCGCACCGAGAGCTTTGAAAGGAACCATTCTGAAAAACCAAGGAAGACAAAGGCAAAGGCGGAAAGCAAGTTAACAGACGTACGAGCGGGTGGGAGGAGAGATGGAGTGAGAGATGGAATGATGCCCAGTTTGTGCTGCTAGAAGTCGAGAGATCGCTTCCAGCAGAAAAGCAAGTCAGAGCAGTCGGCTAAATTTAGATTGCCTCATTCTAACAGCATTGGGTTGGAGACTGAAAGTGGTTCTGCACACAATGTAACTGAATACACATGAAGAATTCAGCTATCGAGTGGTTACCTATCTTCAACGCAGATAACATTGCTTTAAATAGAATTAATGAGGGACAGCTCTTTTGTCAATGTTTCCCGACAAAGCTCTCGAGAAATCTTTATTCATTCAAACAATATTGAGCTGATGATAGTACTTTGCAGGATTTAGTGCAAAGTGCCAGTGCTTTGGATCCCACAACTCATCACACTGCGCTGCATCAACCAGCAGAAAGCAGCCCGAATGCTCCTTCCATCACCGTTTGTTAAAGGAGGAGAGGGAGAGAGGCAAGCAATCCAGGCACTTCACTGTGCACAAAATCAATGCCGCATCTGCCTTAAAAACAGTCACTATGCGACTATGATGACGGTGAAACGCTTTGAGGGGTTTCAATTTTGAAGATACTACATAAAAAATATAGTTTGTTCCTTCTTCCTGCTGAATGCATTCTGCACAGGAATGGAGCTGCTGCCCTCTGGCGGCATCTTTTTGCACTTAACCCCGTTGCTCAGGTCACAGCAAAGTCAGCACATTAATTAAACTATACCTCTCTGTTTAATTGAGCAGAAAGCATTGCTGATTGACTATTAGCCCTCCAGCATTCAGACACTTAAAACACAATTAAGGAACCTTTTTAACTAATTTATCAGCAATTACAAGGGAAAGGGAAGACGAGCAAAGAGGCTGATAAAAGACGTGAAACTCAAATTTCCTCCATCTTGCATTGCAGTAGAATGCTACAATCTGCCAGGCAAGGCAAAGCAAACACACAGTGTCAGGGTCATCAAGGGAACCTCAACACACCAGCTGACATGCACACACACGTTCTCTCTTCATTCCAAATGCATCGCTCTGTCTCTCACTTTCTACTCATCTTTCCCACGTCATTATCGTTTTATTGGCTGCTGCATTTTGCCCACAACAAGCACAGTCAATCCACTTTCTAATATATTCTGTGAAGTGCTTTGAGACGTCTCAATGACGTGATAAGGCACTGTATCAAATGCAAGGATTATTATTGTTAACTCCTGATAACTCGACTTAAGTCATCAAGCTGTCAATATCCCGGCAGCATTTATTTATGTAGTTATACATATGCCTAACTCACCACTTCTGATAAATCGTCACTGAGCCCTTTTCCTTGGAGTGACTAGCTTTCAGGGGTTTACTGTATACGCTCTTTGGAAAGGGAGGGATATTGGCTGCTGCGTTTTACCCACAAAAAATACCATCAATTCACTTTACATATGTTCTGTGTTTTGAGCATGTTAAAGCGCATTGAGAGCTCTCAACGACGTGATAAGGCACTATATCAAATGCAAGAATTTTTATTATAAGGTAAAGTAGCAGGTCCCTGGAGCTGAATAGTAAGAAAGTAGTGACAACAAAAAGCAAATAGGAGAATTTATAATAATAATAATCCTTGCCTTAGCAACCTTTCCCCACCCCCAGCTCAGGTGTAAGCCTTAGACGACAATTTAAATTTGTATTGTATTGCATTTGACATAGCGCCTAATCACGTCATCTAAACATTTCACAGGATTCAATGCAAAGTTCAGTAACTGTGTATTTTGGAGCCAAAAGTGGCAACAAATTGATAAACACCAATCTAAATAATGCATAACCATCTTACCAAGGTCATAAGCCATGAAGTCTGAAGAAAAGCACTTGGCTCCATGGCTCATTGACGTGTCGTTGTGGGTATTGCCGCCAAACACCATCATTGTCCCGCTCACGATGACGGCCGTGTGCAGGTAGCGAAAGAAGCCCCCGTCCTTCAGGATTTTCCTTGAAAGCAAAAGAAAGGGCATCAGTTTCTTCCTGTTCCAGTCAATAAAAGCAACTTGCATTTATATAGCACCCTTCACAGCGCAACGTCTCAAGAGCGCTAAACAGCAGCGGAGTCTGAAGTCAAGCCAGGGGAAGTAAGCACGGTCAAAGTGGGAGATCTTCAGTCGTGATCTAAAAGAGGGGATGGAGGGGGCCAGGCGAAGGGATTAGGAGAGTATTTCAAAACCTTGGGGCGTAGTAGCTGAAAGCACAAACCTACCTGAAAGCTGTGAATGCACTGTGTACTGTAAATATTTTACCGCACAGAAATAAGGATAATCCTTGCATTGCATTCACGGTCTGTCACATCTGGAGGCTGCCTCCGTAAATACCTCTTTTGACTGCTCTTTCGATCATCTTTCCCCTCCCCCACCCCCCTCAGCTTCCACCACCAACTCGGGTACTAACCGGGGATTGCTAGGCCCTTGGGAAATGCAAGGATTATTAAATAAAAGCAAACATCACAAATATGCCAAACAACTGTTCCACTAAATGTTTAGTGCGGGCACCAATATTAAATGAAATAAATAAGCTACTCACCACGTTTGAAAATCCACTTGATACTGGTACAAGTCGTCCGTGAGGCCGTACTTGTTAGCACTGAAAGCTTTGTATCCACCGTGTACGTAAATAGCTCTGGTCGTGGGGTCGTAAACACTGCTGTGGCCATACCCTCCTTGAACTAAGGCTCCTTTTGTTTGCAGGATATCCCACGTGTTTTTAACTGTTTGAAGCAGAAAGGGACCAGCGTTCAGTCCAGTGGTTATAACTAGACCCCAGGGAAGTTACTTTCATTTTTTATAATTTTTGTTCTTTTTGTTTCAAATGTTTTATTTCTTTTTATTTCCTCTGGCCCATTTGCAAAGTTCTGGATCACCCTGCAAGACAAAGCCCTAACGGGTAGGGTGGTCCTGGCGGGACAAGCTGCGGGAAATCTTGCAAGACAGCGAGTTTTAGCTGGTTAGACTCCAGGAGTTACCCCAACGCACACTCTGGGGTCCCCAAGCCATGGCTCTCACCAACCGGCGCCTAATATTTTCTGGAATTAGGTAATCAGGATGTGCCCCTCCAGGGAGAGAGCCCATTCCATTCCAACAATCCATCTCTGGGATTTCCGTGTGTAGGTGGGATCATGGAAATGTCAGTTTGGTTTGGATACTCTTAAGCATCGTGATAGGTTTCTGCAAGTGTCAGACACTCGGCTGACCAAAGATTTGCACCTGCACCACTCCAGTGTGGCTACCAGATGGTTCAAGGGAGAGAAGTTACAATGTTACACTTCCATTTATGTTCACCACCTTTATTTCCCCTGACAATACTCACCAAGGTTGTACTGCTGGATGTTGCTGATGTAGCCAAAGAGAGGACAGTGCCCAAAGATGACAAGCATGACACTGCCGCTTCTGAACTGCACAATGTGAGCTGAGTGGCCGACCACAGCGTACTGCTGCTTGGCTTTGGGAGTCACCTGCACCCAGGACTGATTGTGAACGTGGAGCACCCACAACTGCTTGGTGATGTTCCCAGATAAATCAATTTTGCCTCCGTACATGTAAATTTTATCCTGAAACATACCACAGTGTTAAGGTGGTCAGCTTGGCCACGGGCTATACAGGTCGAGGAGACATAATTACGAACACAATACACGACACACAGCATGACATGTGTCAACAAATCCCTCCCTCTCCCCAAAAATTATACATTGGTCACTCAATCCACGACTGTTTGTGGGACGCTGTTGTGCGCAATTGGCTGCCGCATTACACCCACAAAATATAGTTAATTCACTTTACAGCATCTGCTGTGATGCGCTTTGAGACGTCTCAATAACATGATTAGGCGCTATATCAAATGCAAGGATTATCAATGTAAAGGGGAATGGTCATGATTTGCACAAAGTAGGATGGGTTCTCTTTTCAACCACGCGTTTGGTCATTTTCCTCACCTCCGAGTCGGCTCTGTGAAAGGCTTCGAGATGTCCTCCTGACATGAAAGATGCTGTGTAAATGTCAAATTGTTGCTGTCGTAGGCAGTAATCTCAGCCAAAAGCAACAGTGCAAGTATCTGTCACATTCGGGGAACACAGAGGAACTTGGGAGATTTTTTTACTTCTGCATCAACAAGCAAGTCAGATTTACTTAATGCAATCTGGCTCAGAATGTGATGGTCCACTCTGCACTTGACCTTCCCCAAAGTCTCAGGCTGAAATGTTGCTGTGTGGTGCAATACTAAAACAGGAGCAAATCATAGGTGGAAAAAGACTTTAAACCGCTCTGCATTTCTAATGTTACATACAGAGGATAGGATTCCAACCATCTACTTTGAATAATAATACTTGCAGTTGATATAGCATCTTATCACACCATTGAAATGTCCCAAAGCGCTTCACTATGTAAAGTGAATTGTAAATTGTATATTTTGTGAGCGAAACACAGCAGCCAGTTGCACACAGCAATGTCCCATAAACAGTTCTGGATTGAGTGACCAACTTTCCTTTCTTTTCGGAGGCATTTTTACCCCCAGAAAGTGATTTGCCATTCGACTAACAGTTGGGTTTCTACTTACTGATAGATAAACAGAGGCGTGTGGAGTAAGGAAACTTGTCTAAGGTTTCACCCTGCCTGGGAATCGAACCTCGCTTGTGAGGTGAACGTGACAACTACTACCCTATGGGACTTGAAATGCCAAATGGTTGATTTCAGTGCTGTGACTGAAATTCTGTGAAATGATAGAGTACTGAACAAACTGGTTAGCACAAGGGAGGGAGCGAAATAAAGAGCACTGTGCAAAGTTTGCATGTGTCCTCTCTTAAAGCCGATGATTCCCAAAAAGAATATTACCTCGTGCAAAGCCACGGAGTGCCCGTACCGTCCCATCGGTGTGTTCACCAATTTCAATGGAAGCCACTTCAAACTCCTCAGGTCATATCTGTGTGCAGGTAACGTCAAGATAATTTAAACAGGAAAACACGGGAGATGCTAGAAATCAGCAACAACAAATTGCATCGGAAGGACGTTCCAAGGTGCTGGACAATCGAGGGTTCCCAGCGGAGCTGGGAGTTGGATTCGGGAGGGGTGGGGTCTAGGGGTTGGGGGGGAACCAACCGACCGAAGACATGGTCAAAGAGAAAGGACTTGAGATGGACTTTGAAGGAGGCGAGGTGAGGGAAGGACCTTGAAGGACATAGAGGGACTCCAGGATGGAGTTCCAGATACTCTGAAAGCTTGACTGCCAATGGTGGACCAAAATCAAAATTAACAATGGGTTAGAGAGAAGAGTAGTTCAACTTATTGACAAAGAGTCACAACCAAACAGTAAATCTCTCCTCTACCCACCTTTCAGATGTCAAGTTCAGCTGCTATGGATTCCTTAATTTTAAAAAAAAGTGAGTAAAATATGAAAAAGTCCTGTTACCTCCTGTTTTATTCTTACAATGAATTTTTACTTTCTGTTGCAGATGAGTCAAGTGTAACAATGTCTGATACCAGTAACTACATGGTCGAGATACCCGTATTGTGGTTAGTATATCCATGAATATCCAAGGACCCGAAAGACAATGGAAAATGTGTGCAGTGATTTTAACAAAATGGTAAACACTTGTACTAAATACAGTGAAGTGCTTCTAAATACAATTATCATCATTCATCCACATGTTTCAGTTGTTGGTTAGTGCATTGTAGAAAAAAAAGGGAGTAACAGGACTTTGTGAACACTAGTGTAGTTCATTCATGACTCACACTCCTGTGTGCACTCTCGCACAATATCAAGCAATATAAAATTCATTTGCAATAAGAGAACTGGGAAGAAAAAAACAATGGAAAGTCATTTCCATCCTTGCAAAGTAAATTTCACCTGAAGAACACAAACTTCCTCCTTGTATCTGCATGTTATGTTAAATTTAACATAACATGCGCCTTGGGACGTCCTCCCAATGTGAAAGGCCCTACATAAACGTAAACCTGCATTGCGTGTATTGAAATTATCCAGAACATCGCCAAAATGATCACTGAAATGCAAGTGCATGCAATTGCACTGAAACTCCAGCAGGTGGCACAAATTAACATTCACGCCCCAAGTCTGCAATGGGCAGTGGTGTGATTGGAGAGATGAAAGCAGTTTATTCATCTTTGATCGCAGAGGTAGAGACGAGGTCAATCAATAGAGATTGCAGCTTATTTTGCTGTATCTATTTGCACAATTTACTTAAAAGGTTCCCCGACAATGACTGAATGTCAACAAAACCGCAGCCATCAACTTTGGCTCCTGCCATCGACCAACTATTTCATCAACCAAGGAGACACTACACTACCTTAGTGTTATGTCTGACCCTCGGGCCTCTAAGCCTTTCATCCAGTCCTTGACGAAATCCCCTTTCACCCATCTCCGTAACATGGGTGGCTTCCATCTTTAGCTCACCCCCAACACAACCTAAACCCTGACTTGGTTTCTCTAACTCCAATCTCCTTGTTTTACCAGCTCAATCCTCCACGATCTGCAGATTCCCTGCTCTTTGGAACTCTCCCAATAGGTCTTGGCTTTGTCTCCTCTCTCCCTGCCTTCAAATCTCTCATTAAAAAAAGCATGATTCTCTGTTACTGTGCATTTAGTGAACACACCTGAGTTTTCCTCCGTGCTCGATGGAGCCCGGAGCACCTCTGTTGACACAGTTCTTTGCACTTGACAGGTATTCTCTATGTGCACATTTTTTTCAAGCAGCTTTCATGCAGTGTCTGATCCGTTCATTCCAAAGGCATTTTCGAAGGATGAACTTCCAAGGACCGTCCCAACTTAGTGTTGGTCATGTGGCGGGGTGGTAAAATTTGTTCGGCCGGAGTGAAAACAGCTCCCTAATTACTTGTCAAGGTGATGCAAATCTCACCCCACCCATCCCCAGCAGTGAACTTGCTGACTTCAAATGAAAATTGGTGTGAGACAAGGGACCACGTTGGTGAAGACCTCCACAAGACTGTCCACCTGTCAATTTTTTTTACTAATAAAATGCTTGTCATGATCTGAATCTGTGCAAATACTACCTTGGACTTGGGCTGGGACAGCACCATCACTGTGTGAGCAACGACCAAAAGAACAAGAGGCCCCCCCACCCTCCCCCCAACCCACCCACCCACACACAATGTGGACAATTTAACAAAGGCAGGTACACTCTCTCAAGGGTTAAGTCTGCAGCAGCGACTTACTATGTCTAAGCACGGATTTGTTGTACTTACGCCATAACCATCTGGTAGTCCGAGGAGTTGAACACGTAGCCTCCGATAACCCACATGATGTCATCACTGACCACAACCTTGTGGGAAGCCCGTGCCAGACCAGGCACCTTGTGCTCCTCCCGACCCCAGAAGGAGTGATTGCTCGGCACTGGGAACGAGCAGTCAGGACCTGAGGGAGTTTAGATTAACAGTATATGCTCTCAACAATGGTATGACTGTATGGAAAGCACAATGGAAAAACCTCAAATAAACACCGCAGAGGCTTACTTACAAGAAAAGTCATGCTGTCAGTGTCTAATACAGGGGCAAAAAGAACAACATTTGTTTTTGGTAATATTAAACCTTCACTAATAAACACCTGCAGAACGTATAACCTTCACTGAGAAAATACAGGGGTATCCAACAAACGTTTCTAAACAGACATGAAACAGAATCGGAAATACCATCACAGCAAGCGGCCATTGAACCCATTGTGTCTGTGCTGGTGCTTACTCCCCCACTGGAGCTCTCTATTCCCCTGCTCTTTCTTAATCATATTTGTCTAGTTTTCGCTCCACCACTGGAGCTCTCTGCTTTAATCCCATAATATTTGTGCAATCCAATGGACCTGACCGCTTTAATCCCAGTCCCCTCCTCCTTCCACATCATATCTGTGCTCCCACCCCGATGTTGTGCTCGCTCCCCGAATGGAGCTGTAGAGTCTAATCCCATTCCTCTGCTCACGGATATCCACCACTTTTAAATGCTTTATGGGCTCAACTACGACAGACATTTATGGTAAAGCATTTTACATATTAACTGCCCACTGTGTAAAACAAATTTTGCTTCTAGCATTCCCCGTTTTTTTGGTTAATCAATTTATGGCCTTGAGTTACTGAATGGAAATAATCTCTCTCTACTAAGCTGACCAGAAACATGCCTAGTTTAGGAGATCATTCTTAGATTCCCTCCCACTGGTCCCAGCAGAAACTTTCATGGTCACATTAACCTGGAGCAAATCAAGGAGTGGGTCCCTATTATGAATGAACACTGGATCAAAAGTTATCAAACTGCACTCACCCTGCCAGCCAGTGTTGCACCAGCAGCTCTGCGTGTCGTTCAGGTCACAATTCCCGCGTACAGGATACCCACACTCGTCTGTGCAGTAAGGGATGCTGCAGGATTCTCCTTTCCAGTGCTCATTGCACACACAGTACACGCTGCCTTTGACATGATCCACGTGGCACACGCCTTGCTCTGAGCAGTCGTTCGGACAGGCATTGATGCTGTTCACATCGTAAAAGAAGTCTCATCACTACTGGGGTCATTGGCGTTTTTCATGCACATCTTTCAAATGTCAGTCATTTTAACCTCTATAGTTGGGAGCGCTGCTTATCCGCAAATCTTGTGTCCGCTAATCTGCATTGGCGCCGAGAAGCAGAAGTTCGGCTGAAATGCTGGTGAGAATCTGATCATTCAGCATCATTTCAATGGAGTCCTTCAAAAGGTTACAGAGGATTCCAGCTCCCAATTGCAATACACTGTCATTGTCAGATTCCTACATAGGACTCAAAATGACTCAAGCTCACAGAGTCTCGGAAGATACTCCAATCAGTGCAGCGCTGCATTGTGAGAGATATCGTCCTTCGGATGAGACATTAAACCGAAGTTCTGCCTCTGCCTGTTCAGGTGGATGTTAAAATCCCACAGCACAATTTGAAAAACGAAGGGAATTTTCTCCTTGTGTTCTGACCAGTAATCCAGCTCATTCACCTCGAGCATGTTGGTGGGAATTATCTGTCACATTTGCTTATGTATTTTAAAAAATCATTGCATATAATTATCCTTGCATTTGATATTGCGCCTTATAGCATGAATGAAATGTCTCAAAGCACATCACAGAATACATTGTAAAGTGAATTGATTGTATTTTGTGGGTGAAACGCGGCAGCCAATTGCGCACAGCAGTGTCCCACAAACAGTTGTGGATTGAGTGACCGCATTTTAATTATTCTTTGGAGTGATTATTATCCTTGGAAAGCAATCCGCCAATTGACTAGCAACCGGATTCCTTCTTACTGCTAGGTAAACAGAGGTGTGTGTGGAGTAAGGAAACTTGCCTTTGGGACTCCACCAGAAGCACTTTGAGATGCACTACAAAAAAGCAAGTTCATTCATATAAAACAGCATCAGTACAACTGGAGATTTCTCTGCAAATTTTCTTTCTCTATGCATAGTATCATAAGTTCAAACCTTACAAAATGTACACACTCACTGCACTTTACAGTGAAGTCCTTTGAGATGTTCTCCTGATGTCAAATGCAATAATAATAATAATAATAATCCTTGCATTTGATATAGCGCTTTTCACGTTGGGAGGACGTCCCAAAGCGCTTTACAGAACACACTGTAAAGTGAATTGACTGTGTTTTTGTGGGCGAACGCGGCAGCCAATTGCGCACAGCAATGTCGCACAAACAGTCGTGGATTGTAAATGACCAATTTTTTTGGGGGGGGTTTTATAATAATTATTATAACCTGTATTTCTGATTCAACAAAGTAAGCTTCAGATAGCATTCACTAACAATAGACTTCTTGCACAGGCTCATGTTTCAGTATAAACCAGCCTGCCCCCCTGGACTTCACTCTAAATGAAAGCTATGTTACTAAAGGAAATCAAGACAATGGGAGTAATTTCAGGCTCTGTTTCACAACAGGATTCACTAAGAGAGACTCTAGGCATAGGCAATTCATTGGAATTCGCTCTAGATATAAGGGTATGCCTAGTGCAGGTAAGTGCAGTGACTATTTCTAAGGAAATGAGGCAATTGACACTAGAAATATCCGCAGAATGAACCTTGAGGGTAATAATTATCTGGCATTTGATAAGTGCATTCATCAGGTTGTCAAGTTACCTTAAAGCACTTCACAGGATTTTCCTGCAAAGTTTAGTGACTGTATTTTGTAGGCAAACACAGCAAGCAATTTGCACACAAAAACGTCCTGCAGACAGTCATAAAGGGAATAACCAATTTTATCTGGAGAATTGCTGGACAGGTTATTGGGAGAAAGAAACTTTTCTCTTTTCCGTAGTGTCACAGGATCTTTAACATCCACCTGAACAGGCAGACAGTGCCTCGGTTTTAACTTCTCATCTGAAAGACAGTACCTCCGACGATGCAGCGCTCCAAGGACACTCCTAGGGATCAGCGAAAAGCTCATAGTCCCTCTATGGGACTTTGCGGTCTCGCTCTATTACAAATAATTAAGACAGGAAACAAAAAACAACTTGCATTTATATAGCGGCCCTCATGAAGAGTAGCGTACCAGAGCACTTGACAGTGACGGAGCACGGCGCTGAGCTGGGGGGAGGTGGTCGAAGGCACAGTTGAAAAAAAAGGTCTTCAGTTGCAACCTGAAGATGCGGAAGGAGAGGGCAAGGCAGAGGGATAGAGGGAGAGTCTTCCAAAGTTTCGGGGCACAGTGGCTGAAAGTGTGGCCATCGATGATGGAATGCAGTTTAAGGAGGCCAACAGTAACTACAGGAATATTTGCAGTATGAGAGCGGATCAGTCAGTGAAAATCAAACACAGCAGTTCGTCATTAAAAGGTCAAGCTGTTTGTTATGAGAACAAGTACCAAATTCAACCACCCTCCTTAGTAACCGGTTCTAGCAATCTACTTGCTTTGTGTCAGCCCTAAATATGACCTTCACAGCCCTGCCCTACAGTGACAATTACCATTCCTGCCCTCCACTTCTTAAGCTGCCTTGAGGTTGCAGTCTATGTTACTGTGTGCCACTTGGCTGTCGCACTATAGCTACTTCTGCCCAGCTACACTGCATAGCCCTTCTGTATTCAACATACAATTGTGTAAAAAATAAGAGCTAATCATAATAATCCTTGAATTTGATATAGCAGCTTATCATGTTGTCACAGGATATTAATGTAAATTGGAGTGACTGTAATTTGTGGGAGAAACACGGCAGTCAGTTTGCGTACAGCAGTGTCCCACAAACAACCATGCAGAATGGGTGGCCAATTTTATTTGGGGGGATTTTTAGCCAGGAAATAAATGCACCTCTACAGCGTTCGCTTTAAATTCCATGATGACAATCAGAGTATCAACAACAACAGGATTCCATTTATAAAGCGCCTTTCACGTCAGGAGGACGTCCCAAGGCGCTGCACAGTTGGGTCATGACCCGAGCAGGGGGAAATGGTCAGGGTGAGGGGAGGGAGGGAGCGAGGAGGGGGAAATGGTCAGGGTGAGGGGGGGGGGGGGGGGGGGGAAATGGTCAGGGGGAGGGGAGGGAGGGAGCGAGGAGGGGGAAATGGTCAGGGTGAGGGGAGGGAAGGGAGGGAGCGAGGAGGGGGAAATGGTCAGGGTGAGGGGAGCGAAGGGAGGGAGCGAGGAGGGGGAAATGGTCAGGGTGAGGGAGCGAGGGAGGGAGCGAGGAGGGGGAAGAGAGTCGAGAGGGGAGCTGAAGGCTCGGTCAAAGAGAAAGGTTTTGAGACCGGCCTTGAAGGAGGAAAGGGAGGAGGCGGCGAAGGCACTGGGGATGGAGTTCCAGAGCCTCGGGGCTGAAGGCCCGACCACCGATGGTAGGGCGGTTGGGGCGGGGGACGTGGAGCAGACCAGAGCCAGAGGAACGGAGGGTACGGGCAGGTAGGTAGGGGGATAGTAGGTCGGAGAGGTAGGAGGGAGCGAGGCCGTGAATGGCCTTGTAGGTGAGGATGAGGATCGTCAGAGTATTGACATTTGTCCCATAAAAGCCTGGGTTGGTGGTGTATCAACCTCTGTGAGCCACCCACATGAATGGCCACTGTCTTCCTTGTTTCCCCCACACCATTTAATATCCCTCTTCCTCAAGCTTTTCAAATATACTCGCTTCTCTCTGCAGTTGTCTCGCTAGCTTAACTGTCCACAGACTCCAATTGATCCAAAACTCCAGATCCTCACCCTCACTATTACCTTAGTTCTCGCCTGGCTCCCAGCAGATTGATTTCAAGTTCCTTGCCTTCAGCTATCAATGCTTTCAAGCCCCAAACAACACCCCATTTTTCCGAACTCCTCTGAACCCACTCCTCTGCTTGCCTTAGTCAGGCCCATTTCCTGCCTTCCCTGCTTCACCGAGATTTTAGATTCTATGCCATTAACCTCTGAAACTCCCTCTCTCTAATCCTCTGTCTCGCCCCAACTCTGTCTTCAAATCCTTCTTTAAAACCTACTTCTTCGACTGCAACTATGGTCATCCACCTGTTTCCCACTTGCTCAGTGGCCAACCCCCAACAATGTAAAGCACTCCATGATATTGTCCTATGTGAAGGGCGCAAAACAAATCCAAGCTGCTGTTATGGCATTCTAAACCATTTCTGTCCTTCCTTCCGTCCCATCCATCAGATGAGATGTTAAGCCGAGGCCCTGTCTGCTCATTCAAATGAACATTAAAGATCCCATGACACTGTTCGAAAAGAGAAGGGAGTACTCCCCACGTCTTGGCCAACAATCCCTTCAACAAAATTGGTCATTCGCTTGGGGGCTGTTTGTAGGATGTTACTGTGTGCCACGTGGCTGTCGCACTTGACCACAAAACAACAGTTACCGGATTGAACACAATATCCTGTGAAATGTTTTGGAATCTCCACCCAATGTGGAAGGCACTGCACCAAATGCAAGGATTATTTATTAGTTCCAATGGGCTCCAATGAAGGGGCACAAATTAAAGTTAATTGCAAAAGGTATTATTGGGCAGATTAGGAAAAAAATCCTACAAGGTGTGTAGTCAGAAAATGGGAATTCTCTGCCATGAAAGCTTAATAATGAATGGATAATAAGCTGAGCTGTAACATTCTATGATTCTTTGAAAAACGTCAGACTGTATTATAATAGGTAATTAATAATAATCCTTGCATTTGATATAACACCTTATCATGCCAAAGCGTTCACAGAATATTTTGTGGGCAAAATGTGGCAACCAATTGCGCACAGCAGTGTCCCACAAACAGTCGTGGATTGAGTGAACAATTTTTTTAAAAAAAATTTGGAGTGACTATTACCCCCAGAAACCGATCTGCCAAGCGACTGACATCCTATTTATTGCTGAGGCATGTGGGGTAAGGAAATTTGCCTAAGGTTCCGCTTGCAAGGTGAGTGCTCTAACCACTACCCGATAGGACTCCACAAGGGCCTCCATTTTAGAGGTCTTCAGAAAATTAAAGAACAATGAGCTACACATTAATGTCAATAGCAACAATTCCTGCCAGCAGCGAGCAACATTTAAATTTTAATAGCAGGTGTCACACGGGGAGCGGCGGCAGGACAGCGCAGGGAGGAGACTGCGCCTACCTACCCAGGTACTTAAGCACGAGGCGGCAGGGAGTGCAACTCGGGGGGGGGGCGGAGCGGGGGAACCGCTGACGTCATAGTTTAGTTTTCAGGAGAAAAACAAACCTCTGCGCCCCCCCCCCGCCAGGGCTCACATCAGGGCCCACCATGGTCCTGTTGGGTTGGCTGCCCCAGCCCCAGCCTATGGGATAATGCCATCCACCTGACCGCTCGCTCCCGGTCCCCGCGTGCGCACTATGGCTGCCGCTTTGACCCGAGCCCCCTCCCCCCCCCCTCCTCTCTCCCACCAAACCCTCCCCCCTCTGCATCTCTCCCGCTCTGTCCTCCTCTCTCTTGGTCCCTCTCGCCTTCTATCCCCACTTGACCCTCCCACAACCTCCCTCTGTCCAGTCTGGGAATCCTCCGCCCGGCTCACCGTGGCATCGGCGTTGGCTGTCCAGCAGCAGCCACACCGACTGCCCCATTCCCCACCACACTCGCCAGCCAACCCGGACACAGACCCGGGGACCCAACCTCTCTTCCCTCATCCCCATTCCCCCCACCCCTGCCTCACAACCTGGACCCCCCTCCCACACACCCTTCTGTCGATTCAGAGAAGTGATTCCAAAATATTTCTAACCCCCTGCAGATTCCCACAGCAGTGCCACTGCAGAGATACAGATGGACTTTAAAGATGTTTCTAAACTTCCAAACTTGTTATATTTGCTGCCAACAATTCAAAGTCAAAGCCAAGATTGACTGGGGTAAGTTAGAAGGGGAAACCAATAGTTTGGGAGAGTGACAAGACATTAAAGATCCCATGACATATGGAGCAAAGATGGAGTTGAGGAACAGATCAGCCATGATCTGATAGCATGGCAGAACAGGCTCGAGGGGCTGAATGGCCAACTCCTGTTCCCCTGTTCCTTTGACATTATTCGAAAAGAGAAGTTTCTCCTGGTGTCTTCCTGATATGTTGATCACACACTTCATGGTGGTTTGAAAGACTGCTGCAAATCAGCTACTCTATTTGTCTAAAGGTGAATAGTCACTACACGTGACAGCAATATGTGAAGCAATCTGGGACATTACAGGTGCTATGTCAAGTACAAGAATTATTTGTTGTAAAAAATACATCAGCATAGAAATAAGACGCCTCCTTGTGGCTTAACCACCAAGCCACCACCACCTCCATGTTCTGAGCACCAGAGGCTCCTAAACGTTCCTGCAGTATTTATGGTTAGGGAGAGTGAGTGGAAAATCATCTTTGAACTGCGATCACATGGAAGAAACACAAATATACAGCCAATTCACTTTACAGTATATTATTATCACTATTACTTAGGTCAAGCCAAGGGACTTCAAGACAATTTTGAACCTCACTGTGTCTATGAGGCAGTATTTCTAGAACCTCCTTCAAATGGAGGGGCGAAGGGAGATAAGAGAGGTCCACTCAAAGCTGAGAAGGATCCAAGAACATGTTCCAAGTTCACCCTTCACACAAGTCTTGGAGTTATTAGTAATTATTGCAGTAGACACAAGTCCTTCTCAGGCAACAGAATATCAAAATCGAGTCCACCCTCTGTTGCAGTCTCTAGTCCAGTTCCTGAGCCTCGTGGGTCCAAAGGGACACTTTTAATGATAGACCATCATCGGCAGGACTTGGATGGACAGACTGGGGCAGGAATTCTCTCCACTCAGCTCTTGTTAACCCTACAAACCAAAGCCCTAACAGTTCCTAGCTGGACAAGCAATGAAGGTCAGTGCTTTGCCTTTGGGAGCGGGGGAGGGGCGGCAGAGGGAAATGGTAAATGAGACAAGTTAGTGCACAAAGCGGCACTCGTTGGTGAAAATACCACAAGGAAGGAGAACAATGGGGAATGATCGGTAGATGACACGCTTACCTCGTGCTGACCCGGTAGGAGATTAACAGCCGCTATAATCAGTTTTAAGATTAACTTGTAATCTACACTGGAGAGCTGGGAGGAGCAACTTTAGCTCTGCTTTCATTTCTACTGGAGAGAGGATGCTGTGCTGCATATTGAAGGACACACCAGCATCTTGGGACATCCTCCCAACACGAAAGACGCTATATAAATGCAATGTGTTGTTGTTGTTGTTGAAGAGAATGTTCTATTCTGTAGATTAATATCCTTGTTGGATTAAGAGTCAATCACTGCACTACTCACTGCCAACACAAACCACTGTGAGTACCCGGGAGTTAACCACAACTTGCATTTATATAGCAACTTTTACATGGATAGCATCTCGGAGTTAATGGCAAGCCTTACTGTTAAATACAACACCTTCACAGGATTTTACTGTAAAATGTATTAACTGTGTATTTTGAACACAGCAGCCAATTTGACTCAGCAATGTCTCACAAACAGCCATGAAGTGAGAAACCAATCCTATTTGGGGGATTGTTGGCCAGGACACCAGGAGAAACTCTCTTCTCTTTTGAATTGTGCCAAAGGATCTTTAATGTCCATCTGAACAAGAATACGGGTCCAAGGCTTAAACCTACAATTTTCAGATTGAGATATGAGAGTACACGGAAATTTTATACTGAAAAATTTCACTGACACAACACAAATCCCAATATTCCTCATCACTCATTACTAACCATTGGAAATAATCTAGTGCTGTTTACACTATTATAATCCATCATAATATCAAAGACCTCTCACCAGGTCACCCCGTGAACCCACAATCTTCCAACCCAAAGGCAAGAGTGCTACCAACTAAGACAGGCTTTGTTGCCACAACGAGTCACAATGAGTTTTGAATGTATTTTCTCCTTGAACAAATAGTCAAGCTATGGAGGAGTTAACTTGAAAGAGGTCTTTGATGTCAAACAGTGTTACAACAAGATAAACTAGTGAAAGATTACTTCCATTGGTCAAAATAAACAGCAAAGGCACACGGTTTAGATAATGCAATAATATAACTAATGTTAAAAATGTAAAAGAATTAAACAGGAAACTGGGAAGTATGGTTTAAATGTGAAATTTTCTGCCACAGACCATAGTTGAGTCCATAGATTATTTTGAAAAGCAAGTAGATAGATGCCTGAAGAGGAATATTAAAGTAGTATTGGGATTAAATTTAGGAGAAGAACAGGCCTACTTTTGTGCTTTTTTGTGACAACAATGTTCTATAAACAGCCATGAAATGAATTACTTATATTAAATGGGGGATTGATGCCAAAAACCCCAGGAGAAACTCCTTTCTCTTTTCAAACAGTGCCATGAGATCTTTAAAATGACCACCTGAACAGGTAGATAAGACCTCAGTTTGATGTCTCATCCTAAGGACAGCCCCTGTAACAATGCAACACTGTATTGGAATGGCAACGTAGACTATACAAGTTCCAAGTCCTGGTGTGGGGATTGAACCCACAACCTTTTTGATTCCGAGGGGAGAGTGCTACCAATTTCACCGGCTGACATGCCAAATGCCATTGAGCAGCCTTGCTTAATATACACAACACGGGACTTGGGGATGTGTGGGCGGGGGGGGAGGGGTGCGCTCACACAGGGATTTTCACCAGGGGCAAACATTCTTCAGTTTAACATCTCTTGTTCAACCTATTGACCCAGAGGAGAGAATGCTGCCAAGTATTAGCATTCAAAGTACTGTGAAACTGTACAGTGTTCGGTCTGGTATTGTTGAGTAGAGTGAGCCAAGTGACATTAATATCAGTGCCATCCAGCCTGGATTCAGACAGAATCAATATTACAACTTAGGACTTACTTGTACGTAATGTTAAATCCAGTCAGGTTATAGGCGGCGTCACTAAAAAAGTGCAGCAAGGCATAGCCTGATCGTGAAACCACTTCAGGCATCGTCTCGTTCCCGTTCTTTTCAGGCACAATTAAACCACTGGGGGAGAGAGAAAAAATACACACAGAAAATCAACCTTTTGGAAATTTCAATGCACACACCATGGCAGACAAGCCCCTGTAAAAGACGTTAGATTGTCACAGAATATTTATAGAGATACTTTGTAAACTAACAATTTCTGAATGCTAACTGGCTAACATGTAGGCAGGTACTTAAAAGCAAGGTGAAATGGCAAAATAATAATAATTTAGTCACTCAATCTACGACTGTTTGTCAGACACTGCTGTGAGCAATTTGCTGCTATGTTTCGCCCACAAAATAGTCAATTCAACTTCACAGTATCTCCTGTGAAACGCTTTGAAACGTCTCAATGCTGTGTTAAGGCACTGTATCAAATGCAAGGATTATTATATTATTATTATTTCGATTGCAAGCACTTACTTGCCCTGCTCTGTCACGCTGCTCTGGTGAGACCAGTTACTGGGAGGAGTGGTAACTGACACTCTGCCCCAGCCTGTGAATGGTCTGAGCCACACAACTGGGCAAGAATACTACTACAACAACAACAAACAGCATTTATATAGCACCTTTCACGTCACAACTGGCAACTGTGCTGATACATTATCAAATGGTTATAGAGGACGTGGCTTTAGCTCCAGAACCAATATTGTGTTCTTTTTTTTGTCAGCCCAGTGTGGCGATACATGCAAGCGATGTGGAAATTCCAGAGAAGTTTACACTCTCTACGTGCTTACCTAATTCCAGAAAGTATTAGGCACAGGTGCAGAACCATAATATCACATTTGGGGGCACCCACCACTATGTCCCACCAGTTGGCCCAGTGTTCACGACGACAGGTGCAACGCAGAAGGTCACCAAGCGTGTCCACCAGCACAATATCATCTGCAAGCAGGAGCACCACAATGCTGTCAGAGGCTTAGAACCAAGTCATTCCCCTGAGGTCTCTATACCTTAGCTCTGGGACGCAGTTCAGTGGGGAAGGTGCTATATATAAATGTAAGTAGTAGTTGTTGCAAAGCTATACCTAATACTTCCTGAAATTAGGTAAGCAGGATTCGCTCCTTCAGGGAAGGAGTGCACATCCCATTCCAATAATTATCTCAGGAATCTCCATGAATTGGTGCAGGAACTATCTTTGGCGTGGATACTCTTAAGCATGGTAATAAGTTTCTGCATGTGTCAGACACCTGGATGACCCACAAAATAATGGCTGGTTATGGAAGCCTACAAATATAATAATCCTTGCATCTTTCATATTGGGAGGATTACTCAAAGTACTTTGCAGGATTTGACACTTCTGATTTTGAATTATAGTCACTGTATTTTGAAAGCAAAAATGATGGTGTTTGAATCCAGGTAATAGTTTCCTGCAGTTAACAGAAAATGCCTTTGACAGAACATACCTGCCCTAGAATTCCTTTCCTGGATTGCTAATTTTTAGCCATCCTGACATCATCTTTCAATATTTATTAAATGAGAGAACATGACCAATGGTCCTTATTCTGGACCATTGGACCGAGTCCCATGGCATAGTTAGCACGCTCGCCTCGCAAGTGAGAGGACCCAGGTTTGTTTTCTGGGTAGGGTGAATCCTTACTCCACACGCCTCTGTTTACCTAGCAGTAAATAGGAATCCAATTGTTAGTCGATTCATGGATCGCTTTCTAGGGATAACAATATCTCAAAAATAAATTGGTCCTCAATCCACGATTGTTTGTGGGACATTACTGTGCACAATTGGTTTTACAATATATTCTGTGAAGCACTTTGAGACATCTCAATGACATGATAATTACGCTATATCAAATGCAAGGATTAGTATTACTATTATTCATACACGAGAATTCAAGCAACACATCTCCTCCCTCAAAAGTGTAAACTCAAGGATGGGAAACAGCTTCAGAACATTTAGCTCTGTGCAACTATTGACGATTTAGAGATATTCAGGGAAAACAACAGAAAATATGCACTGTCAGTCATATGTAGAGTTGGAATTAATTCTTATTCCAGTGTTTACCTTCACAAAATGAATACACATCCACAGGGGAGGAAGAAGCGGAATAGTTTTGACGGGTAGATTGAAACAGAACACAGTTTCTCTGAATCCAAGTCTTCATAATGTTTATAGTGTGGTCTGCAGAATCCCAAGAGGGATAGTTCACTCCAGTAAAATTAATACAACACCATTACGTCCCTGGCAATAAAGAGAAGGATTTCCAACACCAGAAGAATTATGACCCTGGTCACCAGGGTTAAACAATGGCTTGGAATCCACCTTCATTAACTAATTAACGGCTTCAGCTCCAGCCCCCGCACCATCACGTGTGGCGTCCATCAGGGCTCTGTCCTTGGTCCCCTCCTTTTCAACGTGTACATGCTCTCTCTTGGTGACATCATCCGTAGATGGGGTCAACTTCCACATGTATGCGGATGACATCCAACTCTACCTCTCCGACTCCATCTCGACTCCAAGACTACTGCTGTCTTCAGACTGCCTGTCGCACATCAAGTCTTGGATGAGAGCAAACTTCCTCCAGTTGAATGTCAACAAGACTGAAGCCCTTCTGCTTGGCTCCCATTAGTGCCTCCATACCTCGGGCGCTGACAGCTTCACCCTTCATGAATGCACTTTACACCTCACGGAGCCAATACCGAACCTCGGAGTCCTGTTCAACCCTCAACTGGCCTTCACCCCTCACATCTGTGCCATGATCCACTCTGCCTTTCCCCATCTCTGCAACGTTGTCCAGCTCCGCAACTGTCTCTCACCCCAGGCCGCCGAGACCCTCATTCATGCATTCATCACATCCAGACTCAACTACGCAAACTCCCTGCTTGTTAGCCTCCCCAATTCCTCCCTCAACAGGCTACATACAGATCATCTTGTGTCCTCTCCCGCACCAGGCTCCACAAACTCATTGCCCCCATCCTCGCCCAGCTTCATTGGCTCCCCATCACACAGAGGATACAGTTCAAGATTCTGGTCCTCACTTTCAAAGCCCTCCACAGCCTCACTCCTCCATACCTCTGTGACCTCCTAACCCCCTACCAATCTCTCCGCTCCCTCAGCTCAGCGGGATCCAGCCTGCTTTACGTCCCACCTTGCCCGGCCCACCATTGGCAGATGGGCCTTCAGTCTCTCTGCCCCCACCCTTTGGAACACGATCCCACAATCTCTCCACCTCGCGCCCTCCCTTGCTTCCTTCAAGACCCACCTCAAGACCCTCCTCTTCAACCGGGCCTTCAGTCACCCTCCTCCCCTATCTCCCCGCCCTCCACCTCTCCTGAACCCAAGCACCAGTTCTGGTGCAGATCCCTGACTGTCCAGCGCCTTGGGACTTCCTCCTGATGTAAAAGGTGTTATACAAATGTAATTTGTTGTTGTTGATTGGTTTGTAGAAAGGTAAGATGCTTGCAGGGAGTTCCTGGTATTTGCCATTCACCTAGTGAGGGCTCAAACGACGATTGTCGGATGTCAAATAACCAACTAGTGACTATCCTTCTTGAGGGGGAAGTAAGCAGCTGACCTGACTTCAAGGTAACTTTTCCCCATACTACATGCTTCAACTGCAGACAAACTGTGGAGAGATCCCCTTAAGGATCATGACAATTAATGAACAAACAGTATGAGGGATCCAGGAAGTGTAAAAGGACATTAGGTTAAGGACACAGCGTGTGGTTATTGTGGTAGGTTTGGAGTATATTGAGTTGAGACCCAAATAAACTAAGTACTCAACAGTACTTTGGAGCACTTATTACACAGACCATTGCAGTTCAGCTTCATAACCAAAACCACCTGAGACATTCACTCCACAGACATTCACAAACCATTCCAGTACACTGGCTGCTTTTGACACCGGAGCCATTTATCTGAACAATCACTTTAAACATAATCCTGAAGTAATTCAGCAACCCGAAGCAATAGCTTTCCAGAAAAAAAACTATTCATTATAATATATACAATTAGGTTAGCAAGAGCTGTGCACTCAGCAACATAACATGCAGCTATCTTGGTATGAATTGCAGAACTGGGATTTGTTAGCATTCCCAGAACAATAAACAGGGTTTAATTCTTCTGGTATTGGAAATCCTTCTAATAACTGTCAGTGCGACAGGCGTCTCAATCAAATATACCAAAAAAAAAGGACATCTTAAGCAACGAGTAGTGAAGTAAATTATCTTGCTTATGCATTTTACCACGGTCATAAAAATTGAGATGCATTGAAAACGTGCACTTATAGGGCATCTCGTTCCAAAATTTCTTTACAGATTCAGTTATACACAGTTACAGTGTGAATCCCATTTCAATGCACACACGTTAAAAATGGCCAACTTCCAGGTGATCAATGTCATTGCTGGCATCACCTCATCCTTTGAAATGATGACAATCCAGTCACTCAGAAGCCTTTTTGAGCAATAACCATAATCATAATAATAATTCTTGAGATTTGATATAGAGCCTGATCAAGTCTTTGAGACGTCTCACAACGCTTCACAGAATATATTGTAAAGTAAATTGACTGTACTTTGTGGGCGAAACACGGGCAGCCAATTGTGCACAGCAGAGTCCCATAAACATCCGTGAATTGAGTGACCACATTTTTTTTTGTTCTATTTTTTTGGAGGGATTATTATCCCTGGAAAGTAATCAACCAACTCCCCAGGTCCTACTTACTGCGAGTTAAACAGAGACGTGGAGTAAGGAAACTTGCCTAAGGTTTTACCCTGGCCAGGAATCGAACGTGGGTTTTTTCTTGCTTGTGAGGCAAGTGCTCTAACCTAAATAAATTAATCCGAAAGGCACCTGAACTAAATTTTAGGGGTCTCAAACTCCCCTACCTACTTGGTTTAACACTTGACAAAGTGCTAAGATTACACCATTGCAGAAGATATTTGGATATACTCAACTATCCAAAATTTATCGTTGCTCAATAAAGTAACTCACTGGCTGAAACAAGACAACTCCAATCATTCAACTTCGTCACTTGTTCTTTCATTAGCAGATCCCAGATCGAGCAACTAAATTCCACTTCATCACACGTATTGCACGAGTCAGTTTGGACATGCCATAAATCTTTACTGCCCTCATTAGCTCACCTTATTACACCAAAACCACTGGAGACAAAATAAAACCACTGCTAGATTATACAGTGAAAAGACAATTATAAAAACCTCAAGGCTGCAATGTTCACAACCCTCAATTGAAGCAATGAAACAAATTTCAATAAACTGGAGAATTAGAGGCTTCCTTATAAAATGCCAGGTCAATGTATTAAAAAAAGTTAAAGGACAAAGAACATTACCAAGGTGAACCAAAGAAATTTCACAAAGGGTTTATTCACCGCAAGGTGACCCCCCCACCCACCATATGCACCAAACTGTTTCTACAGTGCTTCCAGGATCATCATACGGCTGGTTTTTCAAGTCAATTACACACTGCACTAATGGTTTGTTAAACGATGTTGGGAATTGCAAACTAAAAAAAAGAGCTGCCGCTCTTTGTCCTTGAGATAAATAAGACAGGAATACTGGTATACGGAATAATACAATATTATACAAAATTTGTACAGTGCCTTTCACTTCGGGAGGACGTCCCGAGGTGCTGGACAGTCAGGGATTTGGACCTGAGCTGGGGGTCGGGATCGGGGAGGGCGGAAAAGGTAATAATCCTTTAATTTGATATAGCGCCATATCACGTCTTTGAGACATCTCAAAGCACTTCACAGAATGTACTGTAAAGTGAATTGATTGTATATTTTGTGGGGGAAACGCGGAGTAAGGAAATTTGCATTTCGCCCCGCCCAGGAATCGAAACCAGGTCCTCTCCTTGCAAGGTGAGTGCTCTAATCACTGCACTACAGGACTCCACAAGTGGAACTGGATATGAAACAAAAATCTTTTATGCAACAAGACATTAAGAGCAATCCATCTCATGTAGTGTCAGAATTTTATAGCAGAGAAGGAGCTCATTACACATACTTTCCATGCATGCTTTCTGAAAGGGCTATCTATCTAATTCCACTGCATTGCTCAGTCCCCATACTGTTGTGTATTTTTCAAATAATAATCCTTAGAATATCCTGTGCAGCGCTTTGGGACATCCTCCAAACATGAAAGGAGCTATTTCAAATCAGAGTTATTATCATGTCTAGACATCTTAAAAGCATTTCAGAGTTCTCTGTAAAGTGTAGTAACTGTGTACTACACAGTTTAAGTGCTCTGAGATGCTGGCCTGCGTGGAGGGCACTATATCAGTGCAAGTTGCTGTTGTTCTTGTGTATTCTACAGCCAATTTGTGGCAATTTAATGTGGCAGTCAATTCGTGCATAGCAATGTCCCACAAACATCCATGAAGTGAAAGTAGCTGAAGGCTTAGCCACAGTGGGTGGGGGATTTGTACCAGGACAGGCTGAGCCAAGCAGAAGAGTGGAGAAGTCGCAGAGACAGGGAGGTACTAGACATAAGGGCTTTATAGATGAGGGCAAGACCGTGGAAGTCAATCTGTTGGGAGCCAGGGATTCAGTGGAGCCTGGAATGAATGATGTGTGGAGTTTGGTATGGGCGAGGATGCAGGCAGCGGAGTTCTGAATCAGCCAGAGCTTATGGGACAAAGGTCCCATTCAGGCTCTATGAGGTGGAGTGGGCATCAATTAATATTAATGATAATTTAAAGCCTTATCACATCAAGATGTCTCAAAACGCTTCACGGGATATACTGTACAATGGATTGGCTGTGTATTTTGTGGGCAAAATTAATTTAAAACCATGCAATAGTTTAATAAGGGGAAACAATTTCAGATAAATGGAAACTTGATAAGTCCCTCAAACATATGATGAAACTGTAGGTGTCTGGTTTCTGGTTTGTACAACATTCTAATATGATGTTTTATTCTGTTCTTAGACTGAATCTCTACACTTAATGCAGAGACTTGAAAATTTGGGAGTGTTTCCGCTGGAGCATAGGTTAAGGAGAGATGAATGGGAGAGGTTTTCAAACTAATTTAACAGGATAAAATGAGAAACTGTTCATCAGGGAGCAAGTAATGAGGCCCTAAATTCAAGAATATCACAAGAGAAATGAAGATCATTAGAATGCCTTACCATAAATGATGATTGTAGATGAAACCATAACAGAATTTAATAGTGAATTGGATAAATAAAAGAAAATATTAAAGAGTGGGGGGTGGGCAGGAAACAGTGGGGATTTAGATTTGATGCCTCCTTTGGGGGAGCTGGTGCCAGCACTGAGAGAATAGGCTAAAATTCTAATAATAATCCTTGTATTTGATATAGCGCTTTACCATGTCGTCAAGGCCTCTCAAAGCGCTTACCAGAATATACTGTTAAGTGAATTGACTATTTTTTGTGGGCGAAACGCGCGACAGCCAATTGCACACAGCATTGTCCCACAAACAGACATGTATTGAGTGATCAAAAATATTTTTAAGGGATTATTACCCAGGAAAGCGATCAACCAATCGACTAACAACTGGGTTCCAGTCAGGAAACTTGTCCAATACGCCTCAGCATTCCACACTGTCCCCGACAATGTACCCAACTCAATGATTCTATAATGACTATAAAGTGCATCCCTATGTTTGATGTGCAACGCCAGTCACACACTGCTGTAACATTCTGAACAGTCATTACTGCAAGGGAAGAATATTACAGGATTTGGGAGCAAGCAGGAGATTGGGATTAGGTCAGGTGACTCATTTGAAGAAAAAAATACCAGTGCAATCTTGATGGTGTCAAACTTTTCGGTTAAAGGGTTTCATGATTCAAGGTGAATCAAGAAAAAGATTTACAAAATAACTGGGGAATTCAGGATTCAAAATCTAAAGTCAAATTAACCATGTAAGAAAGTGTCCTTACCTGAATGCTGCCAATAGTGGAGCATAAACTGAGTCCCCATCATACACATATAAATGGTCCCAGCTGCATTCTGTAGCAAAGTGATTGAATCGAAGCCTTAATATAGTGTTGGGCCTGAACAAATATAGAAAAGGAAATCAAGACAAGTCTTCAATGCTTCAAATAAAACCTGCTTACAACATGCATGTAAATGAGCTGCGTGATTGAATACAGAGACATACAGAAAGGCTCCTAGGTTAGGGAATCGTGAATGAGAAAGTAAAATCAGTCAAATAGCTGTTCAGACAACCTCCTGATGGTGTGTGTATGTGTGCACAGGATTGGATTCAGTGAAATGGCCCATCACTTGAGATGTGATAATACAGCATATATAACATCAAAACATCTCAAAAGCGCTTTATGGGAGACAGTAAAGCCTCACCACCGCTGTGAAACAAATGACCAAATTAACTGTAGGATTAGTGTTCATCAACAAAGAAAAATAAGAGCATTTATTTAAAATGAAAGGGGAAAAGAGAAAAGAACAAATAGTTTCAAACTTGGAGAGATTTACATAATAGCGCAACACGAAAACAGGCCATTCGGCTCAACCAGTCCATGCCAGTGTTTATATTCCACAAGTCTCCACTCACTCATTGTTCCCTCCAATACCCTTCTAATCCCTTCTCCCCTGTGCATATTTAGCTTCCTCTTACATGTTAAGAGCAGTGGTGACCAACCTATGGCCCGCGGGTCGGAAGTGTCCCGCCAAACATTCGCACTGTCTAGGTAAGTCCATGTTCAATCAATAGTGTGCTTCCATTTATTTATTTATTAATTTATAGAAAAATCATGAAATATTCAATCAAGAAAATGTATATTAGTGGCTGACCAAAAAGGTTGGCCAGTAGTGTGTTAGAGGAAGTCTATTTGAGGTTTTTTCTAAAAAGTCAACAACACCGATAAAGCACAGCCTGGAATACTTACTGTCCTTCAATAAGCCAGGTACATTTTGTTTTGTACTTGTAGTTACCAGGTCCATCAGTCAGATACCCAGAGGGACCCGACAATCTGTAAAGCACACAAAGAAAGAGGCAATCAATAAAAAGAATGAACTGGCTTTGCATTTTTAAATGAACTGGTGAAACAATACTACTAATAATAATCCTTACATTTGATATAGCACCTTATCACGTCGTTGAGACTTCTCAAAGCGCTTTGCATGTAGATTAAGGAAACTTGCCTAAGGTTCTGCCTCACCAGGGAAAATTGAACACTGCTCCTCTCGCTTGGGAGGCGAGCACGCTACCCACTACCCTATGAGACTTCACAAAACAACTGGGAAACAGTAGCCTAGAAACCTTTTGGACATCTTAAAAATAAAGCAAAGCCTTGGAATTGATAGTGAGGCTAGAATACTGAAACATCTTAAAGAGCTTCATCTTGTTGTCAAGTGTGACAACTCTATTTCCAAATGCAACAGTGAATTTGCATACCACAAGATCCCACCAGCAGCTATAAAATGAATGACCAGTTTATTTGGAGGATTGTTGACCATCTATCAATGGTAAGCAATGTGGTTTTACAACAACAAAATTACATTTGTATAACGCCTTTCACATCGGGAGGACGTCCCAAGGCGCTGGACAGACAGAGTTACGGACCTGAATTTGAAATGTCCTCCCAACACGTACAATCCGACATTACATTTGTAAAGCGCCTTTCATGTCAGGATGACAATCAGGGATTAGGACCTGAGCGGGGGGGGGGGGGGGGGGGCGGGGTTTGGGATCAGGGAGGATGGAGGTCAGAGAGGGTAGGAGGTTGGCTGAAGGCACAGTCGAAGAAGAGGGTCTTGAGGCGCACCTTGAAGGAGGTGAGTAAGTGAGGCAAAGGGAATGTGGGATGGAGTTCCCGAGGGTGGGGGCATAGGCTGAAGGCCCGACCGCGGGACATGGAGCAGGCCAGAGGCTGCTGAGTAGAGGGAGCAGACAGGGTTAGCAGCTCAGAGAGACAGGAGGGGGCAAGGCCATGGAGGGCCTTGAAGATGAAGACAAGAATTTTGAACTCGATCCTCTGAGGGATGGGGAGGCAGTGGAGCCGGGTAAGAGTTTGTGTGATGGGGTCACAGAGCCTGGAGCAGGAGAGGACACGAGCTGCAGAGTTCTTGTGATCTGTAGCTTGTGGAGGGAAGAGTTGGGAAGGCTGACAATGTAAGGTTCTATATACATTTAAACTGTTGTTATAGCGAGATAACATTTTCAGCTGCCTTACATATTCTGTCAATGAGAAATGATAAAAGTTAGGAAATAATGCTTGGCATTACTGCGCACAGGACATTTTACAGCTGTTGCTAACAACTCATTATCTCATACTTTGCAGAGCATTTGAGGGAGAGTATAGCACAGATTTACAAGGATGTTACCAAGGAAGAGAGATGCAGCCATCAAGAAAGACTGAACGAGTTGGAACTTTTCGCTCCAGAGATGATTGAGAGGGGACTGGAGCTGTTTAAGATGATGAAAGGATTTGATAGGATGGACTGTTTCCACTTGTAGAGACAATATAAAAAAGCACTTTATCAAACCAAAGTATTATAATTCTTGCATTTGATAAAGCTGCCTTTCAAGTAATTTCACAGGAAATATTTTGACATGTAGTGATTGTGCATTTTATATGTGAAAACTGCAGCCAATTCAGTACAGCAGTGTTCCACTACTTCCACTATGAAGTGAATGACCAATTTTATTTTGGTGTATTGCCAGCAAGGCCTTCGGAAGTAACTACCTTCTCTTTTCCAATAGTGCCATGGGATATTTAACATCCACCTGAACAGGCATAACTCACCTCCCACAATATAACATTATATTGGAGTGTCAGTCAAGATTACGAGAGATCAAAGTCTCAACATGCAGTTCCTGACACAGCCTTCTGAGGCAAGAGTGATATCAACTGAGCCAGGCTGACACACCTGTATCAAGCTATTGAGCAGCAGCAGGAAAGAAAGCAACAAGGACCTTTATATCTTTGCATTTGCTATAGCTTTCACATTGCAGAGACAACAACAAATTGCATTTATATCACGCCTTTCACATTGGAAGGCCGTCCCAAGGCACTGCAAGCAGATAAAAACAAAGATCTTGGGGTAGAGCAAAGGAGGTGATATTGAATTTGTGACCCATCTTGAGAACTGAGTACATTTCTTGATATTGTCTAAAAATAAGAACATCTTGGCATTGTAGTGGGTACAGCAAAGAGAATTAGCTTACTGATTCACAGCAGCAATCTGGGAAGTGAGTTAGGAGAAGTAACAAAAGCCAGAAATGTTCACACTGAAAAGGCTCAGGGAAGATCTTAGTAGAAATACCGAAGATCTAGTCGGGCACAAATAATTTAACAGGTGTGTTGAGAAGAATGAGGAGACTGACTTCAAGCTCAGAAAAGGAAGGACACAGTTCAGATTTAATTTACTTACACAGAGAGGGGTGAATACAATACAATTTTACATTTATATATTGCCTTTCACATTTGGAGAATGTCTCGAGGTGTTGGGACAGATAGACCAGGGCAGTGTTGTCAAACCCAAATTTGTACTGAGCCACGTGTACTGAACCACACACCAGTTGAAAATGTAACAACAGAGACCCACGTGTGAGTATCCAATTCCCACTACGAAGTCAATCAAAGAGATATGCAGCAAACAGCATTGTCGTAGTGGAATCACCACAACAAAGTCTTGTATATATGCATGTCGAACATGCTGGACTTTTCGAATATTCCACACTCAATTGCAGTGATGATTATGCAACAATTTGTTAATTTTCAAATGTAACTTTGTAAACTTGCCATTGACACTTGTACAGTTTTATATGCAAGCTGCTAGTATTTACCCAACTCACATTTACATTCAAAGAAAGTAGAGACTTCGTGAGTTATATTCATCTAAATACAGGGAAAACAGTTCCTGGGAATTGTGTGATAATATACAAATCTATGTCATTATATAACATTTGAGTATACTTGTTTGGTTTGATTATTCAGATGAGTATTATTTCAGATAATTATTTCAATTGAATATGCAAAAAGCCTGACTAGAGAAAGTTTAACTCATATATATAGCCTTAAATAGCCATGTACACACACATCTCTTTAAGCAAATTATCAGCAGGGATAATAATAATCCTTGCATTTGATATAACTCTTTTCACATCTTCTAGACGTCTCAAAGCACAGAATATACTGCAAAGTGAATTGATTTTATATTTGTGGGCAAAACATGGCAGTCAATTGCGCACAGCAGTGTCCACAAACAGCCATGGATTGAAGTGACTAATTTATTATTGTTTTTTTTCATCTGAGATACATGCTTTCTGCAACACCGTCCTTCAAGCCCTCTGCGTTGCCCCTTCCTTATCTTCGGATCGCACCTGAAGACCTTCCTCTTCGACCGTGCTTACGGAAGTCTGCCCCCAGCTCAGGATCGTGCTGTCACTATCAAGCGCTCTGGGTTACTACCCTGCATGAGGGGCGCTGTGTAAATGCAAGTTGTGCTGAAGCTGAGGTGGGCCACACCAAGACCCTTCGTGAACCATATGTGGTCCATTGCTCTTGGGTTTGTTATTGCAGGTCCACGATTTGCACCCAAGCTGGGAATGGAGGCCGGAAAAGATGGCCAAAACTGTGGTCAGAGGTCTTGTGACGGACCTTGAAGGAGACAAGGAAAAGGTGGAGACGAAGGGACTCCGAGATGGAGTTCCAGAGAGTGGGAGCAGATACGCTGAAAGCCCGACTGCAGAGGGTGGAGTGGGTGCTTGAAGCAAGTCAGTGCCCGCTGAAGGAAGGGAAAAGCCAGGCTGGTAAGGTTTGAGGAGGGTGCCGAAGTAGGGTGGGCAAGAACATGCAGAGATTTAGAGGTTAGGATGAGGATCTTTCACTGGGGGTTGGGGAATGAACGGATTCCTGGATAGTCTTCAGCTCTTGAAGGGAAGGGGTGGGTAGTTCAGCCAGCAGAGAGTTGATGTAATCGAGCCTGGACGTGATGAATGCATGGATTAGGTATGCCCAGGGAGGCGGTGGAGATAGAGACTGTAAGCAAATTCAACTGGAGGGAATTTAACAGCAATTTGACAAATAATTGAATTGGAAGCAGCGTTTTTTATTTAAAACTAGTTTGGGCCATAGTGATCCTTCATAGTCCTGAACATTACAGGTCTCAACTTCAAGCAAACAGGTATTGAGCAACAAGTCCCTAAAAAAGTGAAGTCCGTAACACTTTCTCTTTGCCACCATTCTAACAAAGAAGGTTTCAGAACATGCTCCGACTTTATAAATAGAACATTGTAATAAGAAAACTGATTAAAGTGAAATGGCCTCGCACTCCAGCATAGAAAGGCTGCTGTCTTACACCATAACTATTCCTCAGTCTATCAAGGAACAGTGAATCTTTTGTTGCTGTACAAAGCCCGGCTTTAAGAGAATCATTTCATGCCTCACCGTCAAGTCCAGATAAATAGCTCTTGTGCGGCAGTAACCAGAGTCTCTCACTTGACATTTTTCATGGAACTTTTATTAAGATCACATGCAAATCCAGCCTTTCTCCCCAGTCAGTTCTTTGGAGGCATTGGGAATAAAGTGCGAGACATAACCCTCCCCCTGCTCCAAAAGCAAGCCTACTTACTTGCAGTGACAGGTTCAGTTGTGAGCAGTCTTTCCCAGCACTCAGGGCTACTCAGAACAAATGCTTAGTGAGTATTCTTGATAAGTTTCATAGTAGACTTAGTACAGTAGTTAGTCCCAAGCACTTCAATATCTGTTTATATTAATAATAATCCTTGCATTTGATATAGAGAATTATCACATCGTTGAGATGTCTCTAAGTGATTCACAGCATATATTGTAAAAAGTGAATTAACTGTATTTTGTGGGTGAAACACAGCAGCCAATTGTGCACATCAGTATCGCATAAACATGGATTTAGTAACTGAATTATTATTATTTTTAGATTTTTGAAAAGCAGTTGTGGATTTACCACATTATTAATAATATGAATTATTATTATTAATAATGTGGGA